CTGCATAGCTGGAAAGAATGATGCAAAGGCACAGTTGCAGAATACCTGGAGAACTGGTGCAGTTAAGGATGAGATATGATCAAGTGCTTTCTGTGACCCACTTTAAGGTCAACCCTGAGGAACAGGGTATCTCTCTTTCAATAGGCTCGTCGTAAGTCACACAGTAGGAACAGGCACAATCCAAGTCCCCGGTCCCCTCTCAAGCCATGAATGTAGGTTGTACGAAAATGCTCCATGCATTCAACCCAAGCCATTGAAGCAGAAGGAAGAATCATGTGTGCAGCACACCCAGTTCCCATTCCAGCTCATCAACTGGCAAGACAACAGAGAGGAGTAAGAGGATCCCAGTGAGGGGTGTAGCTGGGACTGGGACACCCCCAGCAGGAAGGGGATGAGGAAGCAGAGGTTGGTGTAGGAAATACTCACAGGGTTACAGAGGATGGTGGAGGGGGTCAGTGCACGGGAACCAAAGCAGCAGTGCCCATCGCCAGAGCCAGGGGGGCCCCTGTCTCCACAAACATGGCAGGCTCTGAGGTGTAGGGAGCAGCAGGCAGGCCACTCCAGGAGGCTGAGACAGGCAAGGGCCCACAGCCCAGCTCCCTAGCTGACCAGGTGGGCTCACTAGCTCTGGGAGGTGGTGTGTGATTCCTCAGCAGGTGTAGGCTTGGAGCAGTTGAGGGCTACCTGCCTCATCAAGCCCAGATGTTGCAATCAGCTTGCAAAGCACAAAAAGAAAGCAGAGCTGAGGGGCTGTGTCTGCTCAGATGCCCATGTTGATGGACAAACTACAAGAAAGAAGATTCCACCTAAACATTAGGAAGAACTTCCTGACAGTAAGAGCTGTTCGACAGTGGAATTTGCTGCCAAGGAGTGTGGTGGAGTCTCCTTCTTTGGAGGTCTTTAAGCAGAGGCTTGACGACCATATGTCAGGAGTGCTCTGATGGTGTTTCCTGCTTGGCAGGGGGTTGGACTCGATGGCCCTTGTGGTCTCTTCCAACTCTATGATTCTATGATTCTATGATTCTATGGATCTCAGCTTGGATACTCCAGGATCTCGGTGGGACTGTGCTTCAGTCTGGACTTTGGACATGTGGATTGAACCTGGACTGGGGACTTGACATACTGACTTGCTGCCAGGTAGGCCAGGGGTTCAGGACACCTGGAAGCAGAAATTTTCCACGATTGTTCTTACTGCCTAGAACACCCTCTACTCTGAGGTTCACAATACGTAATCAAGTTATCTGTTTTAGGTGCTTTGTTGCTGGTTTGGGTGTGTGTGAGTTCATCACAGAGAATTCTCTTGTGCACTCAATCTTGGAGAAAGTAGGATTAAAACCTCCCACACTCACCCACCATCTGGGTGGGGATTTTTGCCTCAGTCCTGTTTGGTGAGTATCCTCCCTCTGCAGGCTAACTTAGGCCAGGGTTGAGTGTCAAAGTTGCCCCGCAGGCTGGCGGGAAATAAAGATCTGGCCCACCAGGCCAGAAAGGTTTCCCACCCCATCCAAAGAAGAGCCCAAATGCGTAGTGAACAGCTTTCCAAAATATATAATAGGTAAAGGAACTCTGATTAGCTGCCATTCTGTGTTGAATGCAGACCTGCCTGTGCCATCGTTTGTGAAATGCCCTTTCAACAGAAAGGCTCTGATAGATTCAGCTTCTTGTAGAGACCAAATGTCTATGCTTGATACATTGAAATGAGAATGCTTTGCAGACTCATAACACAGCCACCCTCGAATGAGTCAGCAGCAACAACAGATGGCTTACGACATACACATGAGGTGTTCATACAGAAGAAAATTAAACAAATAAAATGAAGATTGGAGAGGAGTGGCACTAGGCTCATCTTGTCAGATGTTTAATTAGGCAGAAGAAACATCCTAAATTTTAATTGCTTCCCTTTTTGGATGTGCTGTGCAATCCAATTTAAATTGTTTCAGTAAGGGCCTTTGAGGTTTCATTTGGGTAGAGCAATCCAAAGCGGGTGGGGGAGGGTTACGCAAGGCGCCCTGTGGCCTTTTTCTAAGGGACTCTAGGACTGTAACCTTAGAAAGGATTGGCCCATACAGCACCATCATTTACAGGAAAGGTCATAGAAGTTAAATGAGAAGACTGTATGTGTATTTGTTCACATAACTACCCATTCACTCAGGTTGTTTCCATCTGTTCTGATATTCACAGGGGATTTAATACATTGTGGCGGAGAGGGCAGCATTTGTGACGCTCTCCCTTCTGCAAATATCACAACTCATGTTCACATAGTTATATGATTGCCCTTTAACTAATGTAGTTATGGAAATCGCAACATCTCTTTTTCTTTGTCTTCCTAGTCCTCTAAAACTAGCAATGGACTAAAAAGTTCCAAAATGGAGCCCACTGTTGGCACGATATTAGGTGTATGTGCTTTGAAGATGCTAAACTGGCAGTTTCAGATGTCTTAAAGACTGGCACTCTAATAACACTCACAAACTCTAAATTCAGGACAAGGTTAACTGTGTCAGCTTAAGGCAGGGCTTGATTTTATTCTCATTTATTAGTCGCTTTATCAGTTCCTTTCTGCTTTTGATTGCATTATTCTTTTAATCATACCGCAACATGTTTGTAAGTTTTCCCCGCTTATACCTTGATGGGTTTTCATCTTGCATATAATCATCTGAACTCTCACTATTATTTCTCTCCTGCCCCTGTATTTAGAACTGTATTTCACTAAACCTTTGGCACAGTGACATGACAGTTTTGCCTAGTCTTAGTAAGCTTAGCCAAAGTCCAATTTCCTCATATCATCTTAGGGTGGTGGCCAACTGGGTGAAACAGGATTAGTGTTATAAAAGGAACAATGATAATTAAGTAAATACAATTGACAATTGTAAAGGTTATCGTCCTCAAGCTGCACATCCTCAGCAACACACACAGATGCAGAGTAAACTGCAGTATCTAAACAGACTTTGGGGTACAGCTGGGAAAGGCACCTCTGCTTGCATTCTACCTACAAGGCTGCATTTCTGGTTCTTTGTATAATTTTTGAAATCCAGCCAAACCTCAGAACCTCAGAATCCCATCAGCTTCAACTCAAATAATGTCTGCAATCCTATGCACATTTATTTGGGAACAAATCCCAAATAAATGTACACAACACAGAGATGCTTTGAATAAATCCCTCCTCACTTTGGAAATTAAGGAGAACTTAGAAGATAACGTAGCCAAATCTAAAGTTCTTAAGTTAAAAGATGCTTACCTGTAGCAGTGTAATGCTTTCCACTATTATTTTTTAACACATTACTCTTCCATTGAATTATTCCAGCATGGAGAAGTGTGCTTGCCAATATCGACAAAAATGAAAATAGTATTATATAATAAACTTTTTCTGAAGGTTTTAGATGAGAGAGAGAGAGAGAGAGAGAGAGAGAGAGGGAGGGAGGGAGGGAGAGGCAGTTTTGGTTGTTTATCAAAATGAGAATTTAGTAAGATGGTTCATGTGAGCCATCTAGTGCCAAACATAAAATAGTACAAGGGTGTTTTGTTGTTGTTTTTTCATTCCAAAGGGTGCATGGGCTCACTGAAACATATCAGGCCAGAAAAGTAGGAAACCATTGTCATAGTCGTCACATTGTTCTGAACTAGTAATGACCTAGTTCTGCACCAATCTGTTATGCATGTGAACTGAAGTCATACTTTATCTCTGGCCTGAAGAAATGCATAGCATTTCAAGCTCCAAATCTTTGATAGGAAATTTGCACAATTAAGGAAGGAAATGCAATATTGGCTTACAAGAACATGGGCAAGATGTGTTTTGCTTGTTCTTAAAATAAAGCAAGAGACTAGTTTCTGTCTCCCTTCTTCATCTTCCTCCTCTCCATTAAACCCCCCCCCCATAAAGCCTGGGTTGTGAGGAGGTGTGTGCATCAGCTTTGGATGAATATGGAACCAATGGGTAGGGGCGCTTTCTTGGAGGTAGTCAGTCCTCAGTCCAAGGAAAAGCACACATTTCCCAAAAGAGCCTAGAGCAGATAAACACACAACTCTTCAAAGCCTTTCTCTCTATAGAAGTCTGCTGATGTCAAAGTGCTGTCTCCTCCTCTGGAGGGGGTGGGGTGGGAATCTGCCCCTCCAAAAATGCCTGCTGGATAAGTTCATCCCTTGCCAAGGAGTGTGTTTTCCCCAATACTTCTCCCCACCATTTTCAGGGATACCTTCTATATTCTGCCCCAAGGAACTTGATGGAGGCAGTGCTATCTCCATTGACATACATGGGGAAAGAAAGCTAAAGTGAGACTCTGCCTCTGTCTTGAGTCAAAGCGGTCCTTGACTAAAGGGGACTCGCATGAAGCAACTTCCTGTCTGAAACAGTCAGAGTCACAACCAGCCTCTACTCCACTCACCCATGTTATAGCTCTGGAAGCAGTGTAAAAAAGGTAAAGGGACCCCTGACCATTAGGTCCAGTCGTGACCGACTCTGGGGTTGCAGCGCTCATCTCGCTTTATTGGCCGAGGGAGCCGGCGTACAGCTTCCGGGTCATGTGGCCAGCATGACTAAGCCACTACGGATGAACCAGAGCAGCGCACGGAAACGCCGTTTACCTTCCCACTGGAGGGGTACCTATTTATCTACTTGCACTTTGACGTGCTTTCGAACTGCTAGGTTGGCAGAAGCAGGGACCGAGCAATGGCAGCTCACCCCGTCACGGGGATTCGAACTGCTGACCTTCTGATCAGCAAGCCCTAGGCTCTGTGGTTTAAGCCACAGCGCCACCCGCGTCCCCTGGAAGCAGTGTAGCTCCCCACTAATATAGACCTAGTTAGAGGAGCTGTTGCTACCCAAGAAAAGATACTCTAATATATATTTTTAAAGATAAGTAGCTCTCAGCGCAGTGATAAATGCCATTCTTGAAGGTTTGAGAGGAAGCTGGCAACCCCTGCCCTCCCCATCTTCCATCCCTTTCATAGTGAAAACTGTCCATATGGTAAAAATGCTTGACATGAATTACTACCAGCAAGCACTATTGAGTCTGTGGTATTTTCCTTTATTCAACAGCAGGAAGGGTTTGAATAGCAAGTAAGAAGGGCACCTGCTTGGTTTCAAGTGGATAGTTTAATCTCACTACAGTGGTACCTCGGGTTACATACGCTTCAGGTTACAGATTCCGCTAACCCAGAAATAGTACCTCGGGTTAAGAACTTTGCTTCAGGATGAGAACAGAAATTGTGCTCCGGCAGCACGGCAGCAGCAGGAGGCCCCATTAGCTAAAGTGGTGCTTCAGGTTAAGAACAGTTTCAGGTTAAGAATGGACCTCCGGAACGAATTAAGTACTTAACCAGAGGTACCACTGTATTTAACAGGGTTTTTTAAAAAGACAAATATATCCACATTCATTTTTTATTATTTTACATTAGGTTCAATTTTGAGCCCAGCCTATGTGTATATTATCATTTAAGCATTCTAAAAGCAAACAGATATAGGAAAAGTGCAATGATAAAACATGATCAAAGAGAGAAATAAATAGTCCTATGACTGGTAAAGTCTCATCTGGAATTCACTTCTGGCTGAACATGCCAAAGCCCAAAGGTTGTAAGTATGTGCATATGTCTGCCACATTCAGTTACGGAGAAGGCTAAAAAATGGGCCTCATTAAAGCACAGAGCTTTCCCTTCACACAGGCTATGAAGGGAAACACATGCTCTTGTGGCCATTTGGATCTAGTGCAGAGGCCTAACAATCTCCAAGAACAAAATGGCTTGCATCAGACTTTTCAGCAAAATGGGGCTCAAGACGATGCAGAGAGCAGAATGTCTATGCGCGTTTCACGCAAGAATTCAGGCTTTCAAACTGGCAAATCGCTTCTGGTATATGAAAATCCTATCTCTGATATTACTTCATCTTGGAATGTTTAATCACAATGCTTAATATAAATATACAGTCAACTGAAATGTACAAATTACAGCTAATAGCACCTGAGCTGCCATCCAAGCAAGAGACACCTGTCATTCAGTCAAATCTGCATGCATTTCTATGTGAACAAACCCAACTGCTCTGCAGAAAACTCTTAGGTCTCAATGTGACACATCACCATCTTAGATGAGGTATTCCCTGTGTGACTTCAAAACTGTTACCAACCACCTGCAGGCTTTTGTAACAAAAACAATGTTTGTAAAAAAAAATCTTATAGGGCAGGTGCCACCTTTTATCCGATCAAGTATTAATATAACTAATCCCATTGTATTAAAGGCTGTTCTCAGTTAGCTGAAAGTAGGCCTCAGTGAACTCAACAGTGCTAACCTTTGAGTAGACGTATGCAGGATTACATCAACTTAGGCAGTTTTACTTAGCACCAGTGCCTAGACTACCCAGAGCTGACATAGATCCCATCACATTCAGGTTGGAGAGGCAGCACAGGACCCAATTTGTAAGGAAGCAGTTGGGTAGAAGTGGCACATAGAAGGGCAGCCACAATAATACCAAGAAGGCCGGGCGTTAAGGGCCTCTACAGCAATGGTGAAGCTATGTCCCAGTGTGCAGAGGAATTGTGAGGTATTTTAAATTTAAACTTTTACTGGTGTTTAATCCCAGAGGATGGGGTTCTGGTTTCAATTTGCTCTGAATTGCTGCTGTATTTTTATTGTCCTGTAGTTTTTCTTATTGCTGCTTTAATGTATTAAGTTGTTGTTACTTTTTTGTCATACACTGGCTTGGAATGCTACATCAAAGGCTGTATAAAAATCCTTTAAATGAATGTGGCAGGGACCTGTTCAGTGGGAACCCCAAGGCTCAAGTTCTCTGAAGAGCAGGAAATAAAACATGTGTTTTTTTAAAAAAGGATAACGTTTTTTCAGGGAGCATTCGGATTGTTTCCTCAAGTAGACCTTAAGAAGGGAAACAGGAGAGAAGGAGGAATCTTGATCAGTGGCGTGGGTGAGAGTGTCTGATCCAGACCTGGAAAAGCAGCATGATTTAAAACACAAAGAGAAAGTAAAGGAAGAAACCACAGATTAGTCTATGCTGAATTTGGGGAGCCGGGGGAAAAGGAAAGACAAACAGGAATCCTTTATGTACTTTCAAGGGGAATCCTGTCCTTTATCAAAAGGTTGATACCTGCACATGTTTATATCAAACCAGTAATAATACAGTTTAATATGAACAGAAATAGATTCTCTGATCATAGATGAACATTCATTTGCTTCAAGCCACATGAAGACTGGCATCTTCAATATTTTCAAATAAATAAGGTTTTAAAATTCACACTGGTGCACAAAAAGAGGACTTAACATTTCTCTGTCATGTGGATTAAAAAGTGCTAGCAGTTACAATTACAAGACCCGTCTGCAAGCTTAGAGCATTTACCGCGCAGCAATGCAGTACATAAGGTGAGGGAAAGCGTCTTAAGTTTCATGGTGTCTGAAAGGTGGGATAGAGTCCTAATAAGTTTCACAAAACTTGTGTAAGGGTTGCAACTGTTGTCCTCACACTGAATTACTAATTTGAGACACATGGACTTCAATGGGGTTTTCAAAGGGGTTCTTGTCGGCTGATTGTGCCACTGCAGAACAAAAAAAAAGTGCAGTTCAACAGAGGACTGGAAAAATTAATTCAGAAGGAGCTTGTAAGCAGTTTTGTCATCTTGGCTCTTCGTAATTCACTGTGTTAGTTTAATCCCGAAAGATGCCACAGCTACATCATTTCTAAGACCGCCTCTCCCCTATTTCTGGCTGGAAATTTAATCAAAGAAATAAGCTTGATCAAAGGAGGAAAATGGCCCTGTGAAAACGGGCTTAAAATTATAGATCAGTGCGTTGGTCTCCTCACTTTTGTTGGCAAAACTGTGGTTGCTCTTCCGGGCTGCAAAACATTGGAGAAATGCGGATTACGTCCATGTTATCAATTGTGAAAGAACAAATTTTGTAAAATGCACTTTAGCAATCCTAGACTAAATGTAAGACTTGGGTCACACAGGGAATTAATGGTCTCATCAGAGGCACTTGCAGGAAGTGCCAGCCACACACAGGGCTCCCTCTCTCTTAGAAGACAACAAAAAATCCCCCCTCCCACTTTTAGGCGCTAATACTTTTTTTTTTAAAAAAAAGAACATTCTGCTACACAAATGCACATAGGATGTATGTTCTGCTGAAATCAACCTTAAGAAATTAGTCTAAAGATGTTAGGCAGCCACAAGACAATAGTTGAACTTTGCAAAAAATAAATAAATCCCAATACCATTTGTGTCAAGAGGACTACTCTAGGGTAGGGCTGCCATATGTCCAGGTTTTCCCAGACATTTTTACCAATTTTCAGAAATTCCTCCCTGACACTCTTTTCAAAGGACGAATCCCGGATATGTCTGGAAATCCTGGATCTATGGCAACCCTACGCTAGTGTAGTCCTCTTGACACCAATGATATTGGGATGGAACAAGCAGTCTGAGTACTGCAGCTTTCAATAAGCAGCCATCCAGACCAATTTTTTGGTTTTTATTAACTTGAATGGCCACCCTATAACTTATGTTCTGTGGGTAGCTCTCAAAAGTTGGAAAAGTAAAACATAATTCAAAACAATGAAAGCGGCATTAATTTTTTGTTCTTTTTCTGGCCTATATATAGTAAAACACAAATCGTAAAGACTAAGAGGCACTGTAAACACTCAAGTTGTATAAAAAGGCCTGGGTAATTAAAAGAAAGAGATGGTAAGGATGGCACCAAGCAAGCTTGACTGGGGATGTTGTAAAACCAGCATGTCAAGAGCAAGACAACCCTAGAAGGTGCCTGCCTTACTTTACTACTAATCTCAAAAATTCTACAGTTCCTTTGACTAGGTCTGTCTGCTCAATGGTTAAGATCAAAACATTAAGGACTGCATTCAGTGAAGTTCTGTTGGTGCAAGGACACCCCCGTCTGTGCAACAGAACTTACCTGCTCCCTCTCTCAACCCTCCCCACTCTGCCTAAGCTGATCTGGGGTTCCCCCAACCAGGTAGAGGGAGGAGAAAGTCCAGCGAGCAAGTGAAAACATGGGATACGACTCTAATATTGTCCCCCGCATTGTGTGGATAAAAGCTGGCACTGTTTTGTCTCATTTTTCTTTAATCAGAATATGTTGTTGCACTGCCACTAACTATTCCAATTTATATTTTCACAGTCTAGCTGTAAGAAAAAACTGCCACTCAACATACAAGCGTTTCTCCTTTCAGGTGAAATTTCACAACTGCCATCTAAAAACTTTTAATACCTTCACTGACTAAGAAGTCAGCAATGTAGTATGTGACTTTTACAGCTGCCTTGGAATGTGGAATGCCTGTTGAGTTCTTCCATTCATATGGATTTTTTTCTGGATGCCACTGGACGCCGTACACAGGGTATCTGTGAGCTAGAAAATAACCAATTGGTTTCCATCAACTCACACACATAAGACAACAAGTTTCTCTTAAACGTTTGGATGCAGGATTTATAGTTCTAACCAAGATTATAAAGGAATTTCACACAAAATATTACCATTAACAAGCATTTAAATAGAGCTTGGGTTGCGTCCAAAACACTTCATGCATGCTTCCCAAGACAGATGGATGCCGACCAACAACCTTACAAACTCCAAGGTAGGTCAGGGCTATTACCTCCATTTTGCAGCTGGGGGCCCTGAGACAGAATGGCTAGCCACTCAGTGAGTTTGGTGTGGCAGAGGCAATATTCAGTCCCAGAGGGAGAGAAGAGGGGTGGAAGGGTAGATCTGATGGAGCAATGAAAGGAGGAGGAGGAGAAGGAAAGTCCTTTGTAACCCACTGGTTCAGATCTCTGGCAAGAGTAACATGTCACACACATAGACACATCCCAGCAACTCACTGGGCTAGGAGGGAGGAGCACGCAGCCCCCCGCCCCCAGGAATGCTGCCCTCAGCAGAAAAGGCTTCTGCACTTCTGATTTACATTACCTTCCATGGTAGATATGAAGCTCACGTTGTTATGAACATTAGTTGTTAAGATCTTATAAAAGTTGCGCAACTTCTCATTATTTGTAAAATTCTGTAAGAGAAAGGTTTTTTTAATTTATATTACAAAATATTCTTTTAGATGGGGCACTTTTATCCTTCTACTAATCCCTCTCCTATTAACATGTGCATCTGTCCTGCTGTTACTATTTACACCTTATCTCTCACACCTTAGCATGTTGCTTTGTGAGGTCATAGCTGTAGAAGGCAGTTTGGTATATTTTAAATTAATGTTTTACATGCAAACTTTAAAAGTACCTGCACAGAAAGGCTCCAGAAGTGGAAGTTTGATGTCAAGGGTTCAGAAGCCATCAGTTGCAACAAATCAGCAGGAAAATCCTGGAATATTCCGCTGTTTTTGGCATCTTATACCAAAAAAAAAAAGGGGCAAGAAGAGTTAATATTACTATCTGCAGCCTGCCCACTTGTTTAAGGCATGCCTGATCTGCAAGAGCTCAGGTAGCACTTAGAAAAACTGAACTGATGTCAAATGGCACACATACAGATACACACAACAGTCAACAGCAGGTACCACATTGGTATCCTTAGGGGGTACCTTTCAACTCTACAATTCTATGGTTCTATGATAGTGGTGTTTATTTTGTCAGTCTGCATTTCTTAGTGCAGAAAGTATTGATGTGATTTCTAGAGATCTTTCCTATTCTACTTAATTCAAGAGGGTCCTGGAAGCTTCTGTGTGAAAGAAACAAGCAGAAGGTTCATGACGTTCCTTCAGAGACGCTGAGTACAGCTGGCTTAAACTGCTTCTGTTATCTCTTCCGTCAAGGTCATGCTGACTATAAAAATAGGCCAGAGGGAAGCGTGGGTTTTGCTTTTCTCTTTCTTTCTCTTTTCCTGGTGTGGTGTTCTGTATAGAGTTATTGTAAGTTTAAGTTAAGTCTGCTGCAACTGGATTTCTTATGGACAGTGCCAATCCTGAATGTATTGGATTTGTGACCATTATGCTCATTTGCCTTCAGTAGCAGTAAAGCTCTGTTGGATGAAATATTAATTGCCTCTGGTCTATTTTTTAGGAATCCTGCAACATGTTTAAGTTTTTACTCTGCTGACTATAAACTGGAATCTACTCTGGATCAATATTGAGAAAAAATTCCACAACATATTTTGCTCTAGGAGGCTTAGTTTGGACAGTATCAAGTAAACATCCAGAGTTAATGCAAAATACATTGCTTTTGTTAAATGAGCCACCATAGCCGCTAGCTAGAGGGCCATGAAAATTTGTGTCCTGGGCTTTTTATACTTGTCTACCCATGTACTGTCTGGAACCAAAGTGGTACATTGGTTCCCAGATGTGAAATATTTTGATATTATTTTCAACTCTCCCTCCCCATTACATAGAATCCTTTATCTAAGTATAAAACATAAAACAAACTTCATGAAAAAACTCTGTAAGCATTGTGTTGAACCAAAGATGAATTGTTCCAGAAACTTTGCTAACTCCATCTTGATAGTCAAGATAACACCACAATTAATTGGCTGTTGTTGCGGCAACAAGTTCATATAGTCAAACCTCGGATCCCAAACGCCTCTGTTTTGGAATGTTGCAGCTCCCGAATGCCGAAAACCCGGAAGTAAATGCTCCGGTTTTTGAACAATTTCAGAAGCCGCACATCTGACGCAGCTTCTGCTTGAGTTCAGGAAGCTCCTGCAACCAAATGGAAGCCGCACCTAGGTTGTCAAACATTTCAGAAGCTGAACGTGCTTCCAGAACGGATTACATTTGACAACGGAGGTTTGACTCTATATCCATTTGCTTTGATATAAGCTAGATGTTATCCTCATCTGTAGGCCTGGGGTGCTGGGCTCTAAGCCCAGAACGGGGAGCTGTCTGTAAGGTTTGGGCATTTGCCATTTTTGCCCTCACCTGGGCAGGTGAAGCAGTGGAAGTCGTAGGAAAAGGGACGTATGCTGCTTTGTTTATAAATTATGAATGTTTGCTTGGGCACAGACAAGTCATCTCCTTGCTGCAGAATCCGTCCTGCATCTGGCAAAGGCTAGGAGAACTGGCAGGCTGATTTGCTGTAAGTCTACACCTTCTCTAATAAAGCACTAGAACTGATCACTCCAGCATTTTTGGCATCGTCCTTTGGTACACCTGCACCCAGCCACTCCCATGAGTCCTCCTTTGTGCCAATGGTTCAGGGCAAGCATCCCTTGTTTTTGGTTTAATACAAAGCAAATGCTACCCAATCTGCTAAATAATGTATTCAGAGTCATATTCTGGGTCATATTCACTTTAGTAGGATGCATTATGACGCATAGATTCAGGATTACCTCAACAAGATGACAAGCCACCTATTAATTGCTGGAAGAAGAGCCACACCAGGATTTGGCTTAGGACCTTTCAATGACACAGACTCTTATCTAAGAACATCAGCCCAGCTTGTTTTCCTGCATTGGCCAATCAGATGCCTCTGGGAATCCCACAAGCAGGGCATTGAGGGCAGCAGCTCTCCCGCTATCGTTCCCCAGGAACAGGAATTCAGAGGAATTCAGAACCTGGAGGTGGCACAGCATATAGCCATCAGGGCCAGTAGCCATTTCCTTATTAACACATTAGTGCAATCCAGCATCAGCCACACTGTATCCCATTTGCAATTAATGGAGGTGGGCTAACCATGTTGCAGGGCTGCAAGGAAAGAGCTGTGTTTATTTTAGTAGCAGGGGCAGGAAGGGGTATCCTACTGGGCTCCAGGACAGAGGAGAACTCAGGCTTCAAATAAACACAGGCTGAAAAATGGTGGGGAATGCTCAGCATCTAAATGTAGTTGTTTAAGGCAATTAAAAACAGTAAGGCTTTTCAGAAATTCATAATCATTCCTCTAATCACTGACAGCATTACAGGCACTGTCCACAACACTTGCGCCCGCATGTTCCCTTGCGCTTTGAAATGCTCAGAACTGTAATAGAAGCACCACTTTTCAGTGGGGGGGGGAGGGGAGTTGCAATGTGAAGGTTAGAAAAAAGCAACATTCCTTCCTTAAAATGCAAGAGCTTAAGGGCGTTTCTTTTGTGGTCAACAAGTAGGAACCATGGGTTTAACCATACCAAAAATGTTCTGGAAAAACCCTCACTGACTGCTCATTTCCTGCTTTGCATAATGATTGCTGACTTCCTGCTTTGAAGGAAGATGACCCACCCACTATGTAACATCATAGGTCAGTGCCAACAAAAGTGGTGCTGCCATGTGAAAATTAAATATTTGGACATTCACTGTAATTTTCAAACAGAGGCTCAAGAAGTAACAGCATCCCACACATTATGAAACTCTTAATTTCCACTGCTGCTCTAAACAGCTAGCAAGTGTCATCATTAGCTCTAAGGAGACAGAGCCATTACTCTGGTGTTGGGGCTCCATCCCAGCAGTGGAGAACTTGTGGCCTTTCAAGTGTTGTCAAACTCCCACCAGCCCCAGACAGCATGTCTAACAGCCAAATATTATGGGAGCTGTAGTTCAGCAACATCCATAAGGCCACAAGTTCTCGACCCTTTTCCTATCCTTTTCTTACAGTCCCCTAAAACTCATTATACAGCATAGCTGAACCAACAGCAACAGTCTGTTTCAGCAGAGTTCATGGAGCCAGACTACAATACCAAAGAAGGGACTCTTTCACCAGACCCTGTATTCTACTACGGATCTCCAGCACAGCACAGTATCAGGCCTCTCAAACTTATGAGATAGAAGACTAAACATCTCCAGGACCTCAAAGCTCAATGCATTCTCAAAGTCATTATTTCACTTTGACTTGCAGAATTTATTATCACCGCCCCCCCCCCCCATCATAAGTCTTCTGTGAACTGAAACTCTTGAGTTTTCACCTGGAGTAAAGTTCAGCGGCAATGCAAAGCCATCCGTATTAGTCCAGGTGAGCAGGTCTTCCCCGCAAGTGAGGACGCTAAGCAGCTGGTGTCCCAGGCATGTCCCCCATACAGGAAAATAGTCCCCTCTATCATTAGCCTGGAAACAACAATAAGGGGGAGAAGTCAATAGCTACAGATCCTAGACATTTATATTCCCCATTATTTAACTACCTAGGAAGACAGCAGGATAGTTCCTTAGATTTCCTAATGTGCCCCCAGGTCTCAAAGAGGTTGGGGACTCCCCATACATCACCAGGATAGAAACTGGGGCAGCTCAGTTGGCAGAGCATGAGGCTCTAAATCTCAAGGTTGTGGGTTCAAGCCCACGTTGGACAAAAGATTCCTGCATTGCAGGGGGTTGGACTAGATGACCCTAGATGATTCTATTTACATCTTACAGCCTAGTCCCAAAATCATGCACATAAAGATAAGGCAGAGTTGTATGACTACCCATATGCCAGCTAGAAAGGTGTGAAAATAAGAGGCACCAACAACTGTCATTCCTCAACATTGCCAACGCCCCAATGCAAAAATATTGGCATGCTCCAATATTTACCTCTAGTGCTTTATTGTAGAATATCTTTGCAACTCTGGCAAATTCAGAAGTCTCAAGGCTAACACCACCTCCGGGATAGAGAATCCTAAGCAAACAAAATGACAACACTTTCATCAGCAGCAATGAACTGCCGATTGGTCACACAAAGGTAACATGGATAAACCTGGATTGTAATCACGGAAGGATCTGCAATACAATCTTTAAAGAAAAAGTGATATACTCAAGTACTATAAGGAAGGGTTGTTCAGACAGTCATCATGGAACACGGTGGGAGGAGCAGGAAGATAGTAGTTGGAAATAAAAACCTCAATTTCCAAGTGGTAAAGGTAAAGGACCCCTGACAGTTAAGTCCAGTCGCGAACGACTCTGGGGTTGCAGCGCTCATCTTGCCTTACTGGCAGAGGGAGTCAACGTTTGTCCACAGACAGTTTTTCCTGGCCAAGTGGCCAGCATGACTAAGCTGCTTCTGGCGAAACCAGAGCAGCGCACGGAAACACCATTTACCTTTCTGCTGGAGCGGTACCTATTTATCTACTTGCACTTTGATGTGCTTTCGAACTGCTAGGTTGGCAGGAGCTGGGACCGAGCAAGGGGAGCTCACCCCATTGTGGGGATTTGAACCGCCAACCTTCTGACCGGCAAGCCCTAGGCTCAGTGGTTTACACCACAGTGATGCGAACTCCATTATTGCATGAGCATTTTTCCATAACCACATTTGTTTTTCAAATGGTTGTTACCTGTAATGAGATCACCGATGATGAAAGGTGGGTTGGAAATTGTGTAAATAAAAAATAAAAATCAAGTGGCTAGCAGCTGTGAATGGCAAATCAGCTCAAATAAATTTGTGTGGAATATGTAGGCAAATATGCACTTTTCATTAGAGGAAGTATCACCCAGGATTCTGTTTAATACGCCTTATGACAAGAAACCAATGTTAAATGTATATGCTATGCCTGCCACAATAACGATTTGTTCTGTTTGTTTTCATTTCAGCTGGTCTCTTATTCTGGTACTGACAGCCCCACATTTCTGCTAGGAAATGCTAGGAACTGCATACTCAGGTTATAGAATACACAGAATTATCACCAAGCAGAGCACAAAAAAGCCACCATTACAGACACTATTATCAGTACACTATTATCTTGATATCTTTTTCATTATCTATTAACTTCTGTAACACTTTGCATATGGCAATGTACTTTACAAACCTTATCATCTTCCCAACAGCCTTTCAAGGTAAACTGCTGAGCAACAGACACCCAATGAGATTCAAGGCCTGATAGAAATTGGAACCTGAGTCTCTGATATTGTCTCAGTTGCCTTCCTTCCACTTCACTGCTCTTCACTTTTACTACCAGTAGCAACAAAACAGATGTTCATTAGGACGCTTACCCATTGATAGAATTGAAAATCTTATCATATTCTTCATCTGAACGATTCAGTCTGGAGGAATTAAAAGGAAATGAAAAGTTGCATTAGAAATGTATAGCTTCCCTGCATCAGTTTAGAATAGTTTTTAGTACAGTACCTAAAAGGTTAACGCCAATTTCCTGTGCTACAATTTAAATTCATGTTAAGTCAGTCCCTAGTGCAGACTTCCTGGAAAGTGTCATTAATCAGTCACATCTATGTCCTCTAAGCACCTCAAGGCAGTTTACACATTTCCCCTAATCTTCACAACAACTTTGCAAAGTAGGTTAAGGTGACAGGTTGTGACTGGTCACCAGGTGAACTTCATGGCTAAGTAGAATTTTGAACCTGGATCTTTCCAGTCCTAGTCTAACTCTTGAACCGCTACAATGCAATTGATTCACAAATACACCCATACTGAAGAGTGCTAATCTGCTTCTACCCTAATGACTGGCAAATATTGTCCTGAGAAAATTTCTACTTTGCACTGCAGAATGTGAGCACATTATTCACACAAGCTTACCTGATTGGTACTACCCGGGCTCCAGCAGATTCAATAAACTTCACATATGAAGCCCCAATGTAAGAACTTCCAAATTTTTGGAAGCTTTTAAAGTCAGTTTCCTGTGCTAATATTCCTAGAAAGATCCAGAGGAAAAAAGTTAGGCATCAGTGAGGTCACAGGAAAAACTGAGATGCCGCTGATAAACTAGCAGTAGGTGGAGTGTGATGATTAATTTAATATTATCTATATTTGAATCCAAGAAAGAACATGGTGTCTCATAACATCACAATGACAATCCAGCAGCAGCAGCGGGGTAATTACTTGTTCAGATGGTGTTAAACACAACTATATTTAAGATTGGTTTGCATGTTACTCATTTTATACTCAGAAAGCATTTATGTGAAAGCAGGAGTAGATTCCTTTTGTAAACTCCTTTGGGGGGGTTGTTTTTGTTTTTTACAAGCAAACAGTATAGAAATGATATGATATAAATAAATTACATACATGAAAATAGCATGTATGTCTCACTATGTGTTTGAGGAAGTACACCCTGAAAATCTGTGATAATCAGACATGACTGTCTACAAATGGATTTCATGCTACGCTTAAATACTTTCTATATGAAATATGGAATAGCCTGTAAGTCAAAGGTCTGCTATATTATCATGAAAGCAAATTTTTCATACCATATTTTAAAGTACCTGCATTATCCTTTTTAAACTGACTTGTTGAAATACAATACACTTTTGACCGCTTGAGTGCTTCACAATTTGACGCACGCAGCTGAATGCTTAGATCCAGACAACAGACAAGTTCCAGCAAGCATCCTATCACACTCTCTATATCAGAAATATGTTTTTTTTTAAAGGAATTTAGAACCAGCTTTCCAAAAGTTCACAACCCAGGCACAGCAGAACATGATACCAGTAAGTTATGCAATGCTGTCAACAAGACCCATTGCACCACAATTGGGAGGGGGGGAGGTTGAGGCATTCCAGGTTGCCAGCTCATCAACTTGGTGTTGAACAAGCACTTCTTCCTTCTGGAATCGAACAACAAAATGAGGAGGAGGAGGAGGTGGTGGTGGTGTGCGTGTGTTTTACAGAAACCTTAGAACGAGGAACTTTATAAATTTATGGGTAGTCACACTCTCTCCAAAAATCACTGTTACTGACATAGTTTCCATCAGGGAGTATAGAACAGGGATGGGCAGACTTTAAGTTTGTTAGATCTACTTTGCTTTTTGCTAGAATCCCTATATATACCACAGAGCAGATCTGCCCCTAAAGTCAGGCACTGAAGACTCTGAATGAGTGTTCAGGGTGCCTCCAGTAACATTTTAAGCCCAGGAATTTGTTCTAAGTACCAGAACTGAACTGAGTTCACCGTCCTTTTGTGCAGTCCTTTTCCACCCGATTAGCTTCCTACTTTTCAGCTAGTCAATCTGTTGCTCTTGTAAAACAATTGAGGAGTCAGAATCCTTACCAATCTACTTACTGCAAATCTTCTGGATATCTGCTACATACCCTCTGCCAACAATCCATCACAAATCAAAATAAATAAAAGTCGCTAAAAGATGGATTTTCAACACACAAACTTTGCTTAGTCCAAAACATATGGAGGACAGCCAATTGATAAAGGCCTCATTAAAGATAGTGAGCCTCTTTCAGAAATGGCATTCTTAGTGTTGTTTCAAGATTTCTACAGAGGTACATTTCCCCCAGTAACAGGTGATGTCTGGGTGAATGTGTTGTCTTTCGCTACTTGCACAGATAGGCTAAAATCATTATTACATCGATCGAAATATTTTGAAGACATAACCCTGTGCAATTTCTCTAGCAGCTGCTGCTAATGAATTCACTGGGGTGGCTTACTTCCAAGTAAACATACCTATAGGAACAGGCTGTCAACCACGGGTACACATGAATTCTTGTACCCCCTGAAATGAAGACGCTGGAAATGGCAGGAAAAATAAAAAAGTATTCTAGAAGCTACAGTTGCCCCAGACACCTGAAAGATTCCATGTTTACTTGCTTGTTTTAATCTACCAGTGAAGTCTCGCCAGTGACAGGTGAATACTGATTGATCTCGAACCAACTGCGACAAGGCGGCACCTTGCGGATCTTCCTACTCAAGCCTAGGTCATTTGCTTGGAAAGAAGCACTGCATTTAAGAGCCGGGATTCGTGGAAGACTTCATCCGAAACAACTGGGGTGATAAGAATCAAGTGCGAAAGAGCCACCTGGTCTCAAAAATAATCCCCTCGGGTGATCCCAGTGCAAGCATAACATTATTTTTTAAAAGCAGAAGTTGGATGCTCATCTGTCATTCATGCTTTAGTTGGTCCCTTCCAACTCTACAATTCTATGATTTAAAGGTGCCCGACCCACCAAGCTAAAGGAGGGAGGGGAGACTTTTTGCATTTCTTTTATTCCCCCCCCTCTCTCTCTCCTCTTGCCCTCGTCCACGTTCCCTGGCAACAGGACTCTTTCTCTGGCTCTTTGGAGAATCCCGGGGATCCCCCCTTACAAGCGCAGAGCGCGGCGACTCACCGATGATGGGTCTCTCGTTGATGATGGCTTTCTCGTTCGCGCCCTGCAGCGGGAAGGGCAGCGTGGCGCCGCAGAAGAGGCCCAACAGGCAGCAGGCGCCCAGCGCGCGCCCGAGTCCCACCCAGCTCGCCATGTCCGCCCGCAGCATTCGGCGACCCGAGCCAGGCTCTGCGCGCGACGCCCGTCTTATGGCGCGCGCCTCTGCCGAACGCTCAGCCCCGGCGCCGAGCGGCTTTGCAACGCCGTCCAATCAGGGCGCATCTCGGCTGGGCGGCCGCGGCATTCTGGGAAATGTAGTCCTCGGGCAGCCGCGCTTCTTCGCCGCTGCGCCTTTTCTTCCTCGTTCCTTCTTTGCCGGCAACGCAAAAAGAGGCGGAGGAGGAAGAGCTGCTGGAAATGCCCGCGTGGGCATCGGTGCGCGCGGGAGATTTAGGCCGGGTGGGGTTGTTGGAGTCAAGATTTTATTTTGTTTATGTCCATCTTGCTGTTGGTGATATTAAACTACTCTTTATAGATCTCGTTATAACTTGTGTGGGGATTGCTTAATTTCGTTGTGGGCGCTTTGATACGGTTTCTTATGAGTGCATTTGGGTAATTATGTAAATATTACCATGTCGTAAGCCGCCTCGAGCATGGTTTTTAACTATGGAAAGGCAGCATGCAAATGACGATGATATCTAGGGAGGTTTCTAGGCAGCCAGTAAGAAAATCGCGTAGGAATAAAGGGCAGTTCTGCCCAACAAACTTCCTTGACATTTATTTGGCTTAGTACTACAGCCTAGCAAACTGGCCATTGTGTCATAAATGGTGTAGCACACCTATAACGAATGATGAATTTTAATAATCACCATTTGGGTGTGTCAATGTTTATTCATATTTAGAAATAGTTCCTTGAAGACATAGTAACGCTGCTGTTTTCGGTGGAAGCAGTGTGTTCGATTTGTGTTTGTACTGTATAATGTACAGAGAGAAGCAATAAATGGACTGTTTCCCCAATAGAAGGACATAAGAAGTAATATCCACCTAGACCTGTATTGGAACTGATGCTTCTTCACTTGTTCATAAATGATATGGGATCAAGGGAAGCGGCGTGGGATCCAAGTTTGCTTAACTCAGCATTGTAAAAAATGGGGACTGTAAAGAGCTCCAAAAGCGTAACTCCAAACTGAGTGAATGAGCAATAAAATGCCAAGTGAAGCTCAGTGTAAGTGTAAAATGACACAATGGGGCAAAAAGTCACATGTATGCTTACGGGGTCTGAGCTGGTGGAGACTGACCAGGAAAAAGACCTTGGGGTTGTGTTGCATAGCTGATCAAAACTTTTAAGTCACTGTATGGTAGGTGTGAAAAATGCACATTCCATGTTAGGCATCATTAGGAAAGAAATTTAAAATAAAGCTGGCAATATTATATTACCTTTATACGAATCCATGGGGTGAACACACTTGGGAGTACTTGGCAGAATTCCAGTTGTTGCATCTCAAAAAAATACACTGTAGAGTCAGAAAGTTCAGAAAATGGCAACCAAAACTAGCAGGGGTTCATAATGCTAGAAACCAGGGTCATCCAATGAAACTGAATCAGGAATGAAGTCATCCTTCACACAGTGTATTCTTCATTACAAGGCATGTTGCCGCCTATGAACTTAAATGATTTTAAAGGGGAATTCGACAAATCCATGGAGGAAAAGGTTATTGCTGACTACAAGTCATAATGGATATATGTTGTTTGCAGAATCAGAGACAGTATATCTCTGAATACTAGTTGCTGGGGAATAGGAGCAGAAGAGGGCTATTGCTTTGGGGCACTGCTGATGCGCTGAGGGTGGGTGGGAATCGGACAATACCAGTAGGCCACATCCCTAATTCACCCAACCCCTGCAGGCCAACTTTGATAAATGGGCTGGCTAACCACCTGTCAGTCACCAGCTGTGATAATAACATCAGATTATTGACACTCATAAAAGTTTTAGAGTGGCAGCTACAGCAACCTCCTCTGAAGATGCACATTCAGCAACCATCAGCTGACTGGCGCTGGGAGCTTGCCTTGTAATGGGCTTGCTGCCACTGCTGATCAGCTGATAGGCAGTTACAGAGAGTTCCTTTGAAATGTTTCTGGAGGAAGAATTTTGAGTGTAAATAGCTTCCTATGCATGGGATGCGGGTGGCACTGTGGGATAAACCACAGAGCCTAGGGCTTGCTGATCAGAAGGTCAGTGGTTCAAATCCCCGCGACAGGGTGAGCTCCTGTTGCTCGGTCCCTGCTCCTGCCAACCTAGCAGTTTGAAAGCACGAAGGTGGGAAGGTAAACGGCATTTCCGTGCACTGCTCTGGTTCGCCAGAAGTGGCTTAGTCATGCTGGCCACATGATCAGGAAGCTGTACACGAGCTCCCTTGGCCAGTAAAGCGAGATGAGCGTCGCAACCCCAGAGTCGTCCGTGACTGGACTTACCGGTCAGGGGTACCTTTACCTTTACCTTTAGCCTGCTATGCAGTAGAAAAGCTGTTCCGTTTAAATGGAGCATCCCCCATGCAGACAAAAACATGTTGCTTGGTGGAAGTACTTTGAATGCAAAGCACTTCCTCCAGCCCTATTAACATAGTTTGTCTTCAAATTTTGACTGCTTAATGAACTACTCTTAGCGTAGAATGAAGAGAAATAGACTGTCGTGAAATAATAATTAGTATTGCAATAAAAGCAAGTGGTGTTGAGAAAAAAATACACACACAGCTTGGCTCATTTATAATGTTTAATTTTATATGTACAAAATTAGAAAAAAAATACAGCATATAACAAATTGTATCTGCTAACATGTTGCTGGTTGGGTTGTTGTTTTTAGGCACACTTGGTACAATTAGAGTTCCTTTATCGTTTCTAAATTACATGATTTCTTCCTTTCTGTTCTGCTGATGTCATGCTACCCTATAGGATTCTAAAACTGCTGGATAAAATATAAATTAGACATCTGAAAATTAAATATCTTTCCCATTAATAAATAATTTGCTCAGTAACTGTTAATAGAACAACGTTGGCAAATGCTTAAGTATTTATCACATGTAACAGAGTATTGTGACACTTTAATTAAAGACTAATTTTTTAGACTGCAATCCAGTGCACTTAACTCGTTGGGGGTGACTTTTAAGCAGAGATGCATATGATTGTCCTGTTATTGCAGAATAAGCTTTCTCAGCCCAAAGCCCATTTTGTCAGATGCATGACATGGTAAGAGGTTTAGGTAGACAGAGAAAGCTGTAGATCTGTCACAGTAGTTTGTGGGTAATCCACACAAAATCCAATGAAATAAGAAAAGTTTATACATCCTGAGGACCTAAAGCTATTGTAGTTGCCACAGAACCATCAGAATAGGCTCATTGCCTTGTGCTGGGAAGTGACAAGGCACCGCAGCGTGACAGAGCTTTCCTTTTTGCTTTGCAGAAAACACTGTTGTAGCAAAACTGTTTCATATTAGCAGGTATTCACATCTTTTCAGGGTGCTTGTCCAAGAGGATAAGCAATCAGGGCTTACCCAACTAGGGAATTAATAAATACGTAACAGCTAAAATGTGACTTTTCCCATTAGTGCACTATGCTACCAACCCCTCTCCGGCAGCGGTAGCTAAGTACTTCACAGATAATCCACCTCTCCCCATAAAATAATTTCAAGGAATGATAATCTTCTGAAGGCAAACAGTAAGGCTAAGAAAATCATTAGTGTGTCTAAGCACAATTACTATTCTAAGGACTATGCTGCAGTTGGTGCATATTATTTTATGTATTTACTTGTTAGCCCTTTGTCAGCTTGTACAATGAAAGAATAAGTAAAACCTGCAATCCTATATTCACTTACTTGAGAGTAAGTCCCAGTGAACCCAGCTGCAATTACTTCAGAGTAGACAGAAGGCTCAGAAAAAACTCCACTGAATATACCGGTAACAAAGATTAATTTTATGTAAACATAAGCTTAGCCTGCAAATATATCTAAATTACTAGTTATTGTTGTATAAAAAGTTTGATCCCTCACCAGTATCCCAAAGGCACCATAATTGAAAGTAGGTTCATGACTGATAATAAGACAACTTTGTGTATTATGGATTATTTTATGGCTATGAGTCATAACAGCTGAAGTCAGCTTCCGTATTTAGAAGCACCATATTTCTGAATACCAGATATTAAGGCAAGAAACTGAAAATGGCTACTTCCACTTTGCCACACATGCCAGCTTCTAAAGGGCATCTAGTTGGCCACTAGGAAGAACAGTGGGGTAGATGAGCCTTTGATCTGATCTTAGGTTGTTCTTATGTTTGTTTTAATCGTACATCCAGCAGGCAATTCAATTAACATATAAGAAGCTGCAAAGTGCCTTATGGTGGAAATATTTCCCTTCCTGTAAAATGGACGGGGAGCCTGTGCCCTTCAGACATTAATGGACTATAACTCCCATCATCCCTGGCCAGTGGCCAGGCTTGCTGGGGCAAACAGAAGCTAGAGTCCAGCAACATCTAGAGGACCCACACATTCACCACCCTTTTTGCAAAATTTCCATTTTACTTGTTCTCTTCCTTGCCTTAAGAAAGAATGCAGCAGATAATATTCTCCAGAAATATTATTCAGATATCAAAACATTTGACATTCGTCTAAAAGCAATTTCACATTTATCTAAGGCAAGTCTGCATATGTAGTTGTTTGTTTCACTAACTTCTGTAGTCTGAGCCAACCTCAACCCCCATTTAAATCTTCTGTAAATCACATTGAAGCTATCATTGTCATCATCACCATCATCTCTCTCTCATATTTTGGTTAATAATCAAATAACTGTGCTTCTCCCAGAATATACTACTTAATCAGAGTAATATTCTGAAGATAACTTTCAGAATCCATTACGAAGTTAGTCCATTCTTGGGAAAGGGTTTCAACAGAGACAGCTTCACCGCCATATTCTTTTGGGAGAATGCTGGCTGGAAAGTGTTGTTGGAGAGTAGGAACATAGTTACTCCCGTGCATGTGGATCTGCAATAAGAGGAATTGTTTCTACCTTTACTTAATACTATTCAAGAAGACAAAATTCACTCTCAGAGAATTGTACAGTTTAAGTACTGTTAAGGCAAGTGGCTTAGTTAATAGGGACACTGATGTGTACAGTCGTTCATAATGAGACCACTGACTGCCTGTTTCCTACTAAGCCCAATTCAAGGTGTTGAAAGTGCTGTACTCTACCTATATGCAATGCTATTTTTCTGGAAAAAGAGGTACCAGAGCTCACCATGTTCTCCCTTGTTCTCTTAGAATGGCAATGGCACCCACCTAAGAGGTGCTGGAACTGACCTCTGGTGAGCTCTGGCTGAAACAAAAGACCTGCCTATATGACTTATGATTGCATATTAATTTTTATCTGATGTTTTCAAGTTTTATTATTTGCTTTGTGATACATATATTTTTATTGAATTATTTTGTAAACCATCCTAGGATCTGAACAGATGAAGTACAAGTCTGTGAACACTTAGAAAATGATGCTATGATTACAAAGACCCAGCGTAAGTTTCTCAAAAAGAAGTCATGCCAAATTAATCTCATTTCTTTTTTTGATAGAGTTACAAGCTTGGTGGATCATGGAAATGCTGTGGACATAGTGTATCTTGATTTCAGGAAGGGTTTTGACAAATTTCCCCATCATATTCTTGCAGAGAATCTAGTAAAATGTGGCCTGGATGAGGTAACTGTTAGGTGGATTTGTAGCTGTTTGCTGCTAAAAACTAAAGAATGGCCACTAACAGTTCCTTGTCATTCTGGGGAAAAGTGATGAGTGGGGTGCTGCAGGGTTCTGTCCTGGGCCGTTGTTTTCAATGTCTTTATAAGTGAATTGGATGAAGGTATTGGGGTGATGCTCATCAAATTTGCAGATGACACCAAACAGGGAGGTGCAGCCAGTGCTACTGAAGACAAAATTGGAATTCAAAATGACCTGACCAGATTGGAGAATTGTGCCCAAACTAACAAATGAATTTCAATAGGGACAAATATAAAATTCTACACTTAGGCAGGAAGAACCAGCTGCACAAATATAAGATGGGATTGCCAGTAGTACATATGAAAAGGATCTAGGGGTCTTAGACCACCAGCTTAACATGAGTCAACAGTGTGATGAAGCAGCAAAAAAAGTCAATGGTCTTCTAAGCTGCATCAACAGAAGTATACTGATCAAGGGAAATAACAGTCCCGCTCTATTCTGCCTTGGTCAGAGCACACCTAGAGTCCTGTGTCCAGTTCTGGGCACCACAGTTTAAGAAGATTATTGACAAGCTGGAACATGTGCAGAGAAGGGCGACCAAGATGATCAAGGTCTGGAAATCAAGCCTTATGCGGAACGGCTGAGGAAATAGTCTATGTTTAGCCTGGTAAAGAGGACACTGAGAGGAGATTTTATAACCATCTTCAAATATCTAAAGGGGTGTCACATGGAGGATGGAGCAAGTTTGTTTTCTCCTGCTTCAGAAGCTAGGACCTGAACCAATGAATTCAAGTTACAAGAAAGGAGATTTTGACCAAACATCAGGAAGAATTTTGTGACAGTAGGAGCTGTTTGACCGTGGAACAGACTCCCTCGGGAGGTGTTGGACTCTCCTTGGAGGTTTTTAAGCAGAGGTTGGATGGTCATCTGCCATAGATACTTTAGTTAAGATTCCTGCATTGCGGGGTGTTGGACTAGATGACCCTAAGGGTCCCTTCCAACTCTACAGTTCTAGGATTCAATGTGGAGCATCTCTACAAGGGCTGTTGTTCTTGTGTAGGCAACCCTTTGGAGACAGTGGGGAATACAGTGTGGCCTACATGGGAAACATGCATGAAAATAGCTTGAATGGCACCATCTCGTGGCATTTTGAACTATTGTATGAATCCACATTAATGAAATATAAAACTTATAGAACCCTATTGAAATAAAAGAGGTGTAGTCTCTTTTTATTTAAAAAGAAAATGTGTTGGGATAATGTGTGAATTTCATAGAAAAAGAATTAGCATTTACTCACCCGTGCTTTGATCTTTTCTGAGAGGAATGTCTTAATTAGAGCAAAGACTGGGTGAAAGAGCAAAGGCTCATTAACCAAGTGGATTCCACGCACTTTTAGTGGAAAGGCATCCTGCGAAGAGAGTGGAGAGAAGCATGATAGAAGACTAGGATCTTCATATTCTAATGCTTACATTCACATGAGCAGACCTGCCAAAATGTCAGACTACATTTGATTTTAAGCAGAGGTTTTCTGACCATAACCATCCCTGGGTTTTCAAGTACTTAGGACTGCACTTATAAAACGGTCACAATATGCCTATCTCAAAAGAAAGAAAATAAATGTGGGGTTGAGAATATGCAGGATAAATTGGCCCAGTTCAGACGGATATATCTTGCCTTATTAAGCTGAGATATGCCTGTGCCTTGTGCTTAAGCACTCCATTCTCACGCTGCCCTTCCCTCCTCCCTTCTTGGCATTCCTGGGTTAATTAATAATAGTTTCCTCATTACACCTGAACCACCACCAACACTTTCCACCCTGAGCAGCAGGACTTAAGAGGCAGCAGTGGATCCACATCTCTGCTCAGCCCCACAGCTCCCAGTCAGGAGTTATATTGGTTCCCTAAGGAGGACATGACACACTCTGCCCACTTGACCAAGTGCTAATAATACTAAATATCGGTAGTGGTGTTGTTAGAATACCTCAAGCCATCTAGAACAGCAGAATTAGACTGTATTAAAAACACAGGAGCTATCTAATGCTCTTGTTCTCCAAAAACATTGGTACGTGAAAGCCACTATCTGCTTACAGCATAACTAAAATTTAGAACCAAAGCTCACTGTGATCGCGGCAGCTATTATCTTGGCAACAGTAGGTGTGATCTGAAATGCATGAGCGAATCTCCATCCTTGAAGATCAAAGATACCCTTGACTCCATTCCGCTGTGTTTCTAGCTCTCTCACAATGAGCTCAGATGTGATAAGACTTAAACGAAACAAATCAAATGCTGTGAATGTCTTTGGGTCCCATTTTTCTAATGACAAAAGAGAAGAGAGAGGGAGATGAATAAAGTAAGCACTTTCCCCCCCAAAAGGCCAATGGAACTAAAATGGCTTAAACGTGGTACTTTGGCTTAAACTGGACAGTGGACTAGGCTGCAAGAATAATGGGCAAAATACACGCGTTTGCTGATTTCTCACCTGCTTTGAAATGATGTCACTTAAATAAATGCCTAACCCTTCATGGGCTACAAAAATGCTAAGCTGATTTTAACCTTCAGCCCCTTTTCCCTTCTCTCAATTCCTGCTTGCACACAGACCATCCCCACTTCCATGTCTCCTCCAGTGTCCTAATTCAAAGCCCACTTTGTCCATACAACCCATTATTTTTACCTTCATCTCCTTTATTCCTACCTCCTCCTTCCTACAATTCTCCCTTGCACACAGATCCCCCTCCATTTCTGGGCTTCCTCCTGCCTCAGATTCCACAGCCCCCTTTGCACTCACATACCCTGATGCTATATGTTACTGTACCTTAAAGATGAACAGAATCTTAAGAGCAAGTCTGTCAGTTAGCTTGTTCAGTTAGAGAAGGTTCGACTTAGTTGATGGATGTTGTCACCGTATGAGTGTTTGATAATAAAATATTTGTTCTAAATTTCTACATTGAATCTGGAATGTCATGTTGAAGTCAACACATAGCACCAGGAACTAAATACACTGTGTGAAAGTACTGTGAAATATTTGAGGGCTCCACATCCTCTATGTCTCTCACACAAGGCAGCTGAGGGGAAAAAAAGGGGAAAGAGAAAAGGGAGAGATATTGAGAGGAAAATGCAGGTTTTTTTTTTTTTGTTTTTTTTTTTTTTTATTTTGACTATGGCAGACCAACACGGCTACCTATCGATAAGAGTGTGATGCTGATAATGACAAGGTTGCAGGTTTAATCCCTGTGGTGCAATTAGGTAGCAAGGAGTCTGGATTTTAATCCCTACTCAGAGATGAGGCTCACAGGTTAATCCTGTACCATTCAATATACAGCATCTCAAGCTAAATTGCCTCACATGATTGCTGTGAGGGGGGGTGGAGAAGCAGGCCCTTGTGTTCATTGCCTTGAACTTGATGGGAGGAAGAACAGTGCACGATTGTGACAGAAAGTATAAGCTTCCAAAACAGGACCAGTATAAGGTTTCCAACCCAGACTTCACCATAAAGGGTATATAATCATACAACTGAAAACAAGTAAAACTTGCTTACAAGTATACAATATTAAGAAGCAAAACAATTTCAAATAAAAGCAGCTTGGTGTGGGTCAAACAAAGCAGCAGAGGCATGGGTCCCACAATTATTAACATGGTCACTTAGGCTGAATCCTGTGCTCACTTACCTTGGAGTAAACCCCACTGGATCCTATTTGCATCTGAGTAAGCATGTAAAGAAATCACTGAAACCAAGCATGTGGGTTGTATCCAAAGAAGAAATCCCATGAGTGCAAAGACTTCTGCCTGCACAACGTGACTTCTCTTCCCCTAAATCTCCCCTGGAAGGTTGGGGGAACCCTCAGAAACAGACTGGGAGGTGCAGAAGACAAGGGAGGAAAAGTCCTGTTGTGCAGGTGAAAGTATTCGTGCTGATGGAATGACTTCATTGGATTCAACCCTACATTTTCCCACACACCACCAGTAAACAATGCAGATAACAACACCTTTTTACAGCAAGACTGTCAAGCACTATAGAGATTTTTCTGGTTGCTAGCCTGGTTCAGAGACAATGTTGGTCTTTCTTTTTGGAGGAAAAGAAAACAGATCCTTTCCCCATTGGTACTGTATTCAGAACAAGGTAGAATTCAGGAGCACTACATAACTATTATCCAACCAGAACATGATTTTTACATAAGTCTTGTCTAACAGGAATTTTACTTGGAACAATATTTGCTACTTAATAGGTTACACTTAGTAGGTAAACAGGGAAATATCCATAGTTTATTTTAAGACTTATCCAGGTAGATGAAGCTACCTTTCAATTACTATTCTTCTGTCAACAATTCATTTCTTTTTCTTTCTCATAAATACAAAATAATAATACAAGTTTTCTCCTTCATTTTTTGGTCCCATTATCAAATCTGTATAAATTGTCTCACTTTCATTAAGAACAAAGCTTCCAAGGAGTGATTTGTTGATATCTGAATGCACTTGCCCCATGATCAACATGAAGTAAGTCTCTTTAGGCAATCATTCTGGAATATGGAGCAGTTTTTGATACCTTCAGAACTATGTTAAGTAGCTAAATGTGCTAAACAAAGAAGCTAAATGTACAACTGTGAAGAAGTGCCTGGAAAGAATGAAGAAATGAGCCAAGCTTCTTTTTTAATAGAGAAATCCAGCATCTTCTTTCTGCACTCTCACCTAATGAATACATTTGGGCAGATGATCTTATCTTGCATTCATATCAGTGTACGTACAACCTATAATTTCATTCGAGTTTTGTCTTTCATTGTTCTGATCAGTATCTGCATGTTTCCTGAACATGCATACTTCTTATATTGGAACAGAGGACTTTGCTTATGGATTTTCACATTTGTACCAATGCACCCACTAGCAAATCTGATTCAGTTTACTCAGGTCATCTGTAGAGTGATCTCATGATCTTAGCAATCAACACAGTTATTCTAAGGCATGTTCATTTACCAATTAAAGCAGGAATGACAAGTACCCAGGGCTCAAAAGGTAAATTAATGTATAGCTTTAAAGGCTTATGTGCTTCTCATATGAGAAATGATTTATCCTCATTAATCATCCTTAGGCTTTCAACCGGAGATATTTGGGTTGGAAAAAGTCTAGCCTCACAGTTTGTTCCCAAATGTTGGAGAAATTCTTATGAACTTTGAATGGATATTTCCCAATGCTTAATTCTTAGCCTTTCCCCCATTTTCAACAGGATGCTTGTTTTTCCAATAACACTTTATGTTGTGACATAATCCTCCTTCTTTTGAATAACACTTACGGCAAAGGAAACAGATTTGTTAAGTTTAATACACAAGCGTTCACAGTTTGGGACTGTATTAAACAAACACCATGATTCCTTATCTCTGGATTGTGCCGAGCTCCTAAATCAGGAATACTGTATCACACTGAACTAAGATTGTGTATACATTGCAGGGGTACCATGACCTAAGCCAGTGATGGCCAAACTTGGCCCTCCAGCTGTTTTGGGACTACAACTCCCATCATCCCTAGCTAACAGGACCAGTGGTCAGGGATGATGGGAATTGTAGTCCCAAAACAGCTGGAGGGCCAGGTTTGGCCATCACTGACCTAAGCCATATCTTCCCAAGTGCTTCCACTGATGTGAAGTACCTTGAATGAAGCAGTGTGGGAAGGAGACTGATCACTCAGATCAGGAGGAACCCTTGTGGACTATTAATGGCAAGAGGAAGGCATAAAAGGAAGGGTCAAAAGGTAGGAAATGTGCACAACAGGGGATGGAGTTGGTGGGTGGATGTGGTCTAACAGGAGACAGAGCCAAAAGAAGAAAAGGCTGACAACTGGTATTGGCAGCAGAGTTGTACCAAGGCTTAAGTCAGCCAAGCCCACACAAGCTGCTGTTGTGAGAAGCCCAGACCCTACCTGGAAGTATGTACTTGGAGCAGAAATCTAGAAACAGATTGCCCTGGGAGATTAAGAGAGCAGAGAAGTTCTTATGTCTATTTCACCAGGCATATTCATGGAGCACTTATTCATTCATTTATACAGTTGTTTTGCACAAAACTGCTTTTGTACAAAACTGCTGCATTAAAAATAAATTTGACCTATTTACAATTACCCTATTTGCAATGGTTACTGTCATCTATCTATAGGGCCAATTGGTATTTCAAGATTCCTTACTAGCCACAGTTCTGAAGGAATTCCTTTCTTGAAGGCAGTATTTCTTCTTTTCCAACTTTGACACTGAGGGTTGTCTCTGAGTAATTTCACTCACTTGAAGTTGTTTTCTAATGTTGTTAATATCTATCTATCTATCTATGCAAAGCATGGGTACTATGAATGTTGCCTTTCTCAATTACAAACCGTTTCTATCTTTGCCATTTCTCAACTATTCAGAGGAAAGCTCCTAGATACAATAGTGATAATAGATTTTCTGTCACAGCCACAGCAGTAAAGAATGCTGGCACACTTGTGTGCATTATTGATCCAGTGAGGAGTTAGGCTGGAGACCAAATGTATCACTTTGTTAGGATCCCCATAACAGTATGAATAAATGTTGCCATTTGTAGCAAAGTATTAGTTGTAGCGCTTGTTCTATTCTGACTGTGAATCAATAACTGCACAAAAGGAGTGCAAGGCAAGCAACTAACTAACATTAACTGACTCAGGAGTGAGTATAATTACCTTGATATAATTCAAGTGGTGCTACCGTGTGGTTTTTCCTCCTCTATCATATAACTAAAGTACACACCCCAAATGAGTAGATAATTGTGGATGCTGGAGACTCCCAAGGCTTTAAAAACAACAACAACAACAACAACAACAACAACAACAACAACACTGTTGGGAGGATGCCAACAGTTCTATGCTCCCCATCAGACCAGCTTCATATAACTCAAAAATTGTGCTTGCTTGCAAGGTTTTAGGTTACCAGAGATCCTTAAGTTGCCAAGGATCTGAGACTAGTGCACAGGAGATATTCTTTCTGATAGGCCACTGGAAGTAAAGAAGGTCAGTAGATGGCCTTCCAGCTGCTTCTCTAGCCCACAATGCATCAACAAACACCCTCATCCTGGACCTCTTCCATCAAAGACTTATGGGAGATAAGTTGACAGCATGTTTCTTCCTGCAAGCACCAGTAAGGGTCTGGATGATGAAGAAGAGTAAAAGAGAGGAGGGGGGATGAGAGAGAGGTCACATGGGTTTGAGGGGCAGGAGAACAGAGAGGAAAAGCTATGGGAGTACTCATTTCCTTTCTGTACTCTTGTGAGTATATGCATGCATACATGTGAGGAGAAATGCATTTGTATTTGTGTGTGTGTGTGTGTGTGTGTGTGTGTGAAAGGAAGTGTAAAGGTGGGGTTCCATACCTATTAAATGAAGGTTTTATATGCATGCTAAAATGTGGGAGAAATGTTTGCATGTGTGCTATGAGGTTTTCTGCAATCAAGCCATATATAAATTTTATGAAATAAAATAAATCAACACACGGGCATCTGTGAATCAGCAAGAGCCCTCTTCCTTCCTGTGCCCTAATTTCCTGTACATTTTTCCTAGAATGAAAGAGAATCAGGTAGCCTTGTATTATTGATGTATGAATGGCACTGCAAACAGACATCAAATAAACTTTGTGCTTTTATATTATTGGAAATGCAGGTATAAGCATTTATATTATCATCAGAAGCTTAAAAGACAATACAGTGGTACCTCGGGTTAAGTACTTAATTCGTACCAGAGGTCCGTTCTTAACCTGAAACTGTTCTTAACATGAAGCACCACTTTAGCTAATGGGGCCTCCCACTGCCGCCACGCCGCCGAAGCAAGATTTCTGTTTTCATCCTGAAGCAAAGTTCTTAACCTGAGGTACTATTTCTGGGTTAGCAGAGTCTGTAACCTAAAGCGTATGTAACCCGAGGTACCACTGTATGGGTTTTCAGCTGAGCCATTCAGATCCTATATCCTTCTTCTAAGGATATGTTCAGCTAGCCACTTCATGGTCTGAAGATCACTGTTTCCTTTCTTTTTGCTTTCCTCTGTGCCTTACCCACTGGCAGCATGACTTACAAAACTTAAAAAGATACACATACATATTTATTCCTTCTTCAGTCGTCCGTTAGCATACATGGCAATAACATGAGTCCATGTTTTATTCGTGACAAAGGGAGGTGCTTAATCTCCTAAATAATCCCTGAAAATTTGTCTTTCTTTTAACAGTGGTAGAGTATCAGTGCTGCACACCCCAAGGTCCAAGGTCCAATCCTCAGCATATCCAGGTAGGTCTGGCATAGATCCCAATCTGAAACCTGAAAAACTGCTGCTAATCAGTGAAAACAATACTGAGCTAAGCACTGTAGTAGATAATGGTCTGACTCAATAGAAGACCATCCTATGTTACTATTCTTTGCACCAACCAAGAACCTGCAACTGCACAAACCAGCATGCAACATGTGTGTGTGTGTGTGTAATTAGTTTTCCAATATACCCCCAATAATAGCCAAATTATAACAATAACAATTAATCCCCAAATTATACAATTATCAAAATGGCAGTCAACTTCCAATTAATACATTTTAGTTAAAGTGGCTCCCTGCATGGTGGTTTGGGTGCATTTCCGATCTTAAATCACTGCATTCCATAATCTTAATGAATGTCAGTTACTTTTCAGTTATAATAATAATCCCTTAGTTAACAGCTACATAATCAATGATTTCTATTCATGATGTTACAATATATAAGTTTATAAAGCTTCAAGTGACAAACTCAGACTATTATCTTTATTCTGTCCTGTGTGTGAAAACTGTTATGTCCCTGGAGATTCCTTCTGTCCATATATGGTGTTGTCTCTTTCACTTCTCAGTTGTTGTTTAACACCAAACGTTAAAAACTTCCCTAAACAGGGCTGCCTTCAGATGTCTTCTAAAAGTCAGATAGTTGTTTATTTCCTTGACATCTGAAGAGAGGGTGTTCCACAGGGAGGGCGCCACTACCAAGAAGGCCCTCTGCCTGGTTCCCTGTAACTTCGCTTCTTGCAGTGAGGGAACCAGCAGCCACTTCCCTCTCTTTTCTTTGCAATATGATGTGACTTTGGGCTGCCCCATCACCAACATCTAATGATATGTGGCTGTTGGTAGGGCAATGTGCAAGAGCAATGATATTGCATCACACACTGTGTTATAATGGCAAACAAAGAGGGACGAAGAGTGGCAGCAGCTCCATATTTGTTTACAAGACATGTTACATGGAGTTCTGTGATTGTAACACTGCACATGCTTTCCCACCCCTTTCAGAAAGCAGCCACAGGGTTGTGTGGGTGTGTGAGAGAGAAATCTGAAAACAAGATTCGGCCAAGTACCCAGCAGTTTAACATCCTGTTCTCACAGTGGCTGGCTATATACCCGTGGGAAACCCATAAGTAGAATGGGAGAACACAGTGTTCTCTCCCAGTGGCGAAGGAAGGGGGTGTGTGGGGGGGTGCAGCTCACCCTGGATGTCATTACTGTGGCGGGGGTGACAAACTAAGGTTTTTTTTTTTAATTGGGCTCACAAAACTTTTTAGGAGTGACGTGGTGGCTTAGGTGCCTGCAGGTTCCACTCTGCCTGAAACGGCAGCGTGGGACTTGCGTCTGCCTACTGCCTCTCCCTCAGCTGCCCTACAGCTGAGGGAGAGGCAGCGGAGAGGCTCAAGGCGTTGGAGAAGCTCACCCCAACCCATGGGCAGTTCGCCCTGCCCCTGGCTGCAGGACACGCGCGTGTACCAAACACCCAAGCGGCTAGCTATGCCGCTGTTCTCTCTACTTGGGATTCCCAGCAACTGGTACTTACAGGCATACTGCCTCCAACAGCAGAGGCAGAACATCTCAACAGCTTCTAGCCATAATGGCTACCATTATCCTCCATGCATTTATTTATTTAATTTAGCTAATTTAGCTAATGAGAGCCAGTGTGGTGTAGTGGTTAAGAGCGGTAGACTCATAATCTGGTGAACCGGGTTCGCGTCTCCGCTCCTCCACATGCAGCTGCTGGTGACCTTGGGCTAGTCACACTTCTCTGAAGTCTCTCAGCCCCACTCACCTCACAGAGTGTTTGTCATGGGGAAGGAGGGGAAAGGAGAATGTCAGTCGCTTTGAGACTCTTTCAGGTAGCGATAAAGCGGGATATCAAATCCAAACTCCTCCTCCTCCTCCTCCTCTTCTTCTTCTTCTTCTTATCTTTTAAAGGTGGTGACTATAACTACATCTTTGATCAGGAACAGTGTGTGCGTGGATTAGCCCTTTGCAGTGCTTTTTTCTGGGGTAGACGCAGGGGTAAACATACCCCTAAACATTTTGTGAATCTTTGTACTTTTGTCCATTTACTGTACAGTGGTACCTCGGGTTACATACGCTTCAGATTACAGACTTTGCTAACCCAGAAATAGTTCCTCGGGTTAAGAACTTTGCTTCAGGATGAGAACAGAAATAGTGCTCGGGCGGCGCGGTGGCAGCAGGAGGCCCCATTAGCTAAAGTGGTGCTTCAGGTTAAGAACAGTTTCAGGTTAAGAACGGACTTCTGGAACAAATTAAGTACTTAACCCGAGGTACCACTGTATTTATTTTCCCTGATTTGAACTATAAAATGGCGGTTTTCTTGAGTCAAAACGAGAGTACTACTCCTAAATATTTTTTAAGAAAAAAAGCACTGGCTCTTTGTCCCCATGTAAAATCCCTGAATTAAAGCACCTACCCAGATGCTACTGGTCTTCTTAGATGTCTGCCACACACCAGAGGAACAGCTAGCATATTAGTATCCTACCTACTGCTTGCTTCAGATAACTTTTGTTTTTTTTACTGCTTCTTGCCATACTGAGAAGCACAGGCATTACCACGGATGTTTTTACAAACACAAAAAGATACAGAAAAAATACAAAAAGGGTAAGAAAAATAGGCAATTCTAAACAGTATCCTGAAATAAAAAGTTCCTTAAAAGCAAGTGCACCTGGGGGGGGGGATCACATTAACTGGAAAATATATAAAGTTGAAAGGTTCTAGCCAATAGGGTCCAAAGACAGATGCAGTAATCTATGAATGAGGAACTATTTTACAAGACCATGTCTCTGGAGTTTTATATGCAAACATAGAAGTGTGAGCTTCAGGACAAATAAAGAATCCAAAAGAGACCAGTGGACTTGCCTCTCACTGGGCTTTATAGGACAAACTTTGGACTATTTGCTGCACACAACATGGTATTCTTTATGTGATGATGTGCATCTAATGCCATATATTTTGTTTTCTGTGATGTAAAGAAACTTTGGGAACTATTTTTTCACTACGCCTTTTTTTTAAGGACTTGTATTTTTAAAACAAGTATTTTACTGCCCCTCAAGAATAGTAACATTAAGCAGAAACTGTGCAAAGCAAAAATATACCATCAATTTATTTCATTCTAACATTTAGCAGGCGTGGTGTGTTTCCAGAGCAAGTCCACCCATGAGGGCAGGTGAGGCGACCAACTCAGGCCACAGGGCTCACAGGGGCAGCAGACCTCAATGTTAGTCTTTCTCTCTCCCCCCCCATTCCTGATGTGGAGCTTCACTCACCCCTTCTTCCCTGGCCAGGGAAGGTTGGCCTCAGTTGCCAAAATGTCCTGTGTGTTTGTAACAAGGTGCCTTTGAATAGGAAGTTGATGCTGTTAAATAACTGTAGTGTCCATCCTTAAGCTTGTAAAGGTAGGAAGCCCCAGAGTGGGGTGGGGTGGGTGGGGTGAGGCCCAAAGCTGCCATGTAAAGCTGCTTTAACTCAAGGTGCTCCTAAATGTCCTGAAGTATTATTGCATGTGCATACACGGCCGTTTCCAAGAGCTGTTCTAAGAGCTACTTTAAATTGCAATGTGATGCTTGTTTCTGATGTGGCTAAGGCCCTCTCCATAGCCTGCCACAGTTCAGCCTGGCTATAATAATAATAATAATAATAAAATAAATAATTTTTTATTTATACCCTGCCCTTCCCGGTTCAGAAAACCGGGCTCAGGGCGGCTAACAACAAATTTAAAACACTTAATTGATGCAACAACAAAACAACATAAAATACAGTATAAAACGTGAATAACAATAAATTCAGAATTCAAAAATCAATTGCACATTACACAGAAGTGCAACCGACCCATGTCCTCCTCTTACGCTTTGCTGTGGGCAAACTGATTCTCTGCCTGCATCTCGCTTGTAGTGAGATGCGTGCTGTAGTCACAACCTGAAGCTTAGGCATCTCAAGAAAGCGTGGTGGTGCTGCAATCTTAAGCAAGGTGGGACTGAGTCCCTGATATGTGTGCATTGAAAAACAGAGTGAGCCAGGTAGGTTTCCCCGCGCGCGCTCAGCCTTGAGCAGCCGGCGTCCCCCGCAGCCCGGGTGGGCTAGACGCGCCTATCGTGCACGCGCCCGCGCGTTCCCTTTTACCTTCCATGCCAGCTCGGCGTCGAAATCCCGAGCTCGCAAGAAGCGGACCAGAAAGGCGTCGGACAGGGACCAGGGCGAAGGATGTACGTTCTCCTCCTGGGCTCGGCGCCTCAGCGCGGCCACGGCGGCCCTCACGACCGGGGAGCCGTCGGGCAGCTCGTTGAGGTTCCCTTTCAGGACGCACGGCTCGTCTTGGCTCATGGCGCCACCTCCCCGCCGACTCCCTCGCCTCGGCCTGGCGCGGCTGCAACTGAGGGACGAGCGAGGGCTTCCCGTGGCCCCGCTCCTCCGGCCCCATTACATAATAACGAGGGCGAGGAGTGCCTGGCGCGGCTGCCAAATTGGCGGCCGAGCCCGCTGGCAAGCAAACCGTCGAGTCTGCGCCGCGCCTCCCCATGGCAAACAGGAGCCGCCGCTTTCCTTGGCAGCCTTCGCCCACTCGGCTCCGAGCCAGGCTGCCTCGACTCCTGCGCCTCCGCAGGCGCAACGGACGAGGGACCCCCGGGCCTGGCGTAACGCACTGTGAAGCCCTAGGGGCGGAGAAGGGACAAGGAGAACCCAAGCCCGGCTCCCCCCGTGAGAACCTCGTGGGCCACCAAGCGCAGCCTTGGTTCCTTGTCAACCTTCTTAGCACGTGCTTGGCTAATGTAGGACCAAACCACTGGGGTCCTGGATTGGAGGGGTGTGCGCATGGCTTCTAGCTTATATTCAAGACGGTGAAGGGAAGAGTTCAAAATGAAATGCGAGTTGGGGTCGGGGTCACCGGGATTTCATTTCCCTTTCCTGAAGAAACAAGCCTCACGCTCCCCGGCCCTGTAGCAAATGAGTGCCTCTCATCATGTGTAGAGGGGCTTTCCCTTACCCGCTAAAGCCCTCTTCCAGCTGGGAAGTTCATTGAAAGGGCTCGCTCTGTACATCTCCCAGTAAACAATAAGCATGGGATGAGGAAAAACAACTCCCTGGTACAATAATATTAGTCTTGTGAAGGGGCTATTATTCTCTGCAACAACGTTTATATCCAGCATGGATTTCAGAGTACTTCCATGGGGTTCCCGGGTCTTCCATCCAAACACCTGCTCAGCTGTAATAAAGACTAAAAGAGCAATCAGTCATGCTGAGTGTCTTACTTATGAGCAAGGTCATTAAAGAGTGGAATGCCGCAGCACCACTTTTCAAGGCTAAAGGTGGGTATTAATTAGGCCAATTCAGTAGTCAGTGCTTCCTTAAACCATTTTAAAGTAGCCTTGTGCTGATTTCAACACTAGTTGAGTTGGAATACAGATACAGAAGAAAGCAAAACAAAAGACCTAATTACGTTTGTCACTAAAGCCACTACAGAATGTCACTTGGCCCTGAAAGCCTATGTTACTCCCCATCAGGGACATGGGTTTCTGGGAAATTTTCAAGTGGAAATTTTTCAGTTTGCAATGGGAAATTCTCTTATGCCCTAGAGCAGGCATGGGGGGGAAGTATCTCATGCTATATTCATTTTATTTACAACTATATGTATATCCTACCTTTCCTCCAAGGAGTTCAAAAGGAAGCAGGATAGTTCCCCACCTCTGTGTGCTAGGTTTTTCAGAGCCAAGTGACAATGTATTCTAGCAGGGCCTCTGTAGCGGCTTTATTAGTTGAATCAGGTTCTGAGTGCTCTGCTTCTGTTAGAATATTTACTCCATTTAACTGTGTGATGTGTCATTTAAATGTTTTGTTTTGACCATATCCTGACCTTACGTAATGTCTTATGTATATAGACCCTGGCCTTTAGATTTAGATTTATAATTTGCCAGCTTTTTAGGCTCTGAGATTTGTATTGTTAATTTAAAGCTGCAAGCCTGTGCATTCTTATTTAGGAGTAAGCCCTACTGAACTCTGATATTTACTTCTAGTCAACAAAAATAGGATTGAGCTGCATCTTGGTTACATCCAAACTGTTGAACTGAAATCGCCTGAGAAAATGGTTTAAATTCCAGTACTTCCATCTGACTGATTTATGGTTAAGACTTAACAGAAACTAATTAAATGGAAGCATGAGAATTCCCTAAGGGTGAATATGGAGAAATAAGATCAGGGCTTTCCTCTCCTTTTTCTTTTGGTGTGTGTGTGAGAGACTGTAATCACTGTTATGGAGTACTGGCACCTTTTCTTTTTTTTACCCCCCCCAAAAAAACCCACTGGACATGATTAAGTTGTTGGGGATAAATTGCTTATACCAAAAGCTTGAAATACTTACTAAGTATTGCTATTGAAGTTTATTTTAAATGTTTCTATATTGTTTTACTGAATAAACTGATGAAATAAAAAAGGAGTTAATTGGAATCCTAATCTCATGAACTCTCAAATACCTTCCAATGTAACTACATCTATGTAGCACTGAATCTGTAAGGTAAAGGAAGGTCACTACAATTTTTCAAAAGTGAAGAGCCTACTTCAAACAGCCTGCCTTGAAATCTAACATTAATGGCTTTCCTATAAGCTTTTTGTTTTAGAGCTGTTATTTGTTTATAAGTCTCAATAGCCTTTTTGGTATCACAGTTTCCAAAAATGGTTAAACTAAATTTTCTTCATAAACAAGCCAAATCTGAAAAACAAGCTGATCATTAACTAAGATTGCAACATTCCACCCCACAATCTCTAGAATTTTTAGGCAGATCTTGCTTACTTGTCCTTTTGATCACACACCAGCCTTGTGAAGAAAAGATGGCTCTATAAATATTTGAGTATCTTTTAATTATTGACTTTGGTGATGTCTTTAGAAGTCAAGGAAGCAATACCTATGAGTTACTGAAGTGCAAGATTGCTGCCAGACCAAGGGCTGGATGTGGCTCTGGATTATGCCCCCCACCCTCAATTTTTTTGTGGTTGCACCAAAAACAAAACAAAACTAGAAACAGGGCAGGAAATAAAAGTTTAAACTACTACTCAGCCCAGCCCAGTAATGGAGATGTAAATTGTCTCCTATCAGATTGATAATCTTTTGCACAGGGAGATGACAGCTCCCATTCTCAGCTGAACTACACACGTGCCTGTATTTGTGTATGCATGTACATGCAAGTGTGTTCTTGTTGGGAGTACAGGGTGACCACACCCACTAGAGTGGGCCTTGCCTGCTCTAAATGAGTGAAGGATTGAAGCCGACTGAGAGACAATCATCACAATTCTCAGATGCCAGTTCCTCCATGCTTTTAATTCAAAATGCAGAAAACAAACAATGCTAATAGTTAACAAAAAGAAAACAGACACACACCCTTTTTGGAGGCATGCATGCTGCATGTCCAGTAGTTCTGCCATTTGCCAAAACATTCCGCAAACCAGCAGAGTTATCTGTGCTTGTGAATCTGGGGAGGAGGAGCTGCACTAAATGCTTTGAGTGACCTTGTTATGAGGGACAAAATGAGAGATAAACTGTTCATGAACAATGATATAAAGCATTCTTTCAGAGAGAGCTATGGAGCTGTGCACATGACAGAAACATTAAAGAGAGCTTGGATCTGGCATGAATTATTCTGTCAATTTATGCTTTCTCAAACAGATCATTATTAAAGAAAGCACAAAAGAAAATGAGATGCAATGCAGCGGACAGATCCAGATTACATAAAACTGGCCATAGTGAAAAGTTTATTGACCATAATAAAACTTGTTAACAAAGGAGACCAGATCTGAAGCAGCTTACACTTCAAATGAAATTCTCCTTTCTAAGGCAGCACTTAAATGAGTAGTTTTTTATGCTTCATCCTCAGACAGCAGTTGAGGTACTTCCATGGAATGTAAGTTCACTCTCTTCTCCGTATTAAGTGTAAATGTGTAACTCAGGCATTGAATAAGCAACACTTTGAATTCTTTTTCAGAAAATTCCGAAGTTTGATCTCATTCATAAACTATTAAATTCATCCTGGTTTGGAGAACTCTTTATAGAGATAAAAGTGGAGCATAATTAAAGCTATCAATTAGCTGCTGGTTTTCAAGTCCAATACCTTTTACTATATCCAAGGAAGACCCCCTCAGTTTAAATAAACATTTCGAAGAGGATCAGTACATGCCCCTAATAAAAAACCAAGCATAGCTTTGTACAACTTTCTTCTATTACTGATTTCCCCCCCTTCCAAAGCTGCAGCTCCACAGGCACAATGGATTTGTGTGCACAAGAGAGCTTTCTTTCCCTGCCAATCCCCACCATGTACACCCTGAGTCAGCTCCAGAGGGCTGGGAGAACCTGTACTTGGCAGCCCGTGTGTGTGCATGCACAGAAGAAATAGAAGACTTGTTGAGTCAGCAGAACCCCACTGGCACAGCATTAGATGTAACCCACTTTATGTGTATTCCTCCTTCCTCCAAGCTGCTCAATATTAAGCCACCGATAAACCCACTATCCAACCTGACATAGTTTTTGTTGTTTTTCGTGTGGGAAATTGCAGTCACACAGAACTATGTCCACGTGCTAGTTAGTGTATGAAGGGGCGAAGACAACAGGGTTGATTCCGAGGCTCAGCTAGGTCGCACACCCTCTTCTCTGATGAGAAAGGAAGCGAAGCCTACTCTTCTTGTTCTCTCTCTACACCACATAACTGGCAAGCGCCGATCTTAAAGCATGTTTGAAACTATCTTTCTGTATATTCTACCCAGGAGTATTCTGCCTGTGTTCTCTCTGCAGCTGCTTGGACAAATACATGAATGTGATCTTTGGAACATTTTGTAAGTAAAGTATTTTTAAACTTACTTAACTGTGTGTGGTCTACTTATTGCCAGAGGGGTACAGAGGGTCTAACAACTTATATTCCTAATGCTATACTGCTGCTTGACTTTTGTGAATTTAAACTCTGTTCTTGGGGGGCTCTCTCCTGCTGGACAGCGAGCTTTGCCCCATGTTTTGAATCTAGGCACCCAACCAATTCTTTTATTTATCCCACCCGCATGGGTCACAGGAATTCTTATTTTCCTCTTACATTTTAAATAATAATTTGCAATTGAGTATGGAAGCCAACATGTAACAAAAAGTCTTGTGGCACCTTAAAGGTGAACAGATTTATCACAACATAAGCTTTTATAGACCACAGCCCACTTCATCAGATGCATGAAAGATTATTCTCAGTTGGTAGATAAATGTGTAACTTAAGTGTCACCTCCCATAGTCCAAGGAACAGTACTCCAGATTTTTCCATGGCCAATTCCAGATACTAGGTTGTATCCAATTCAGGACAAAGCTTTCCTGAGACAGAATACACTCTGGCAAAGCCTAAAATGTGGGGCTAGGAACTTTTGCCCAATATTTCCAACTCCTGCCCATTTACCTTGCACAACATTGCACTGGATATAATCCAGCATGTATTGTGCAAAGTAAGAGGCAAGTTGTGCTTGTGTTCTTCAACAGCTATACCTTTAAGCATCCAAGTTTCTCCCCCTGCAAATTTAGAGGAAGAAAAAAAACCTTTATTTTCATCTGCAGTTAAAATTTATTTGCCTAGATTTTATTTGCCATATTAAGATTCAAAAAAGCAAAGCTGATATACACACAGGAATACATTTAAATAAGAAAAAAATATACAAATTTACAAATGGAAAAAGAGAGGCAACAGAGAATTAACTATTTGTTCTTAAATCCATGCATCTTAAGCTAGTATCACTTGCCCTGAAACCAAAATGGCTTTTGACAATGCAGACAGAATGGCCTTGTTCAGACACAACACTGAACTATGATTCAGTGTTACATGCACATGTCTCAGGCTTATGTGCTCCCTTCCCCACTCTGTCAGTGAAGAGGGTAACGGATGATGTCAGTTCTGTTATAATCAACCACTGTGCTAGGATTATGTCCAAACACAAAACTCTGGGTAATCTCAACTATGGATTAATGAAACAATTCAACTTTGTGGTGGAACTTGGGTTGTTTTAGTATAGTACAGTGGAACCTCAGTTGTCAAACACTTTGGAAGTTGAACGTTTTGGCTTTCAAATGCTGACAACCCAGAAATAAATGCTTCTGTTTTCAAACGTGCCTTGGAAGCTGAACAGCTTCCGAGGCGAGTTTCTCAATTTTTTCAGTGGATTTTGCCAACCAGCAATTGCACCTTGGTTGTTGAATGTTTTGGAAGTCAAACAGTCTTCCAGGACAAATTACTTTCTACAACCGAGGTTCCACTGTACAGTGAAAACGAAACATTTTCCTATGTTTGGACACAATTCTGAACTGTTGCTAATTAAAAATGAAAGTGAAAGCATCCTCACTGTCACACAGACAAGGGGAAGGAGCAATTGATGAGCCCAAGGCTTATTCAGGTAACATTAAACTATAGTTTAAAGCCACAAGAAGGTGCAGCTACAGTGTGCTAAATTTGAAGTTAGTGCTACGAACTGTGTGCTCTGTAGATAGAACATTCAAACTTAGCACTCTTTTTTGTTAATCAAATATTCAGGTAGAGGTATACCATATGAAACAATATACTACTAAAGCATGAATAGAACTGCACACCCTCTTAAGACTAGGAAATAGGTTTATTAAATCATTTATAACTCCTGATGTACAGCCCAATCCAACACATTAGATGAAAAGCCTCATTCAGTTCAATGGAACTTACAAGTAACTCTCTGTAGAACTGCATCCTTACTTCCTTAAAATTCCCAAGTCTTGCCTTTGACAAGATGGACAGCTATTTTGCCATGGATTTTAAAGTGTACAGTATTAAGATTTAATGGCTGATGTTTGAATTGATACATTTCTAGATGCCTACTGAAATGGCTTTTACCAGTTACCAACTTGAACTTTTAAGAAATTATTCAGTTTTGAATTATGAAGAACCAAAGCATCCCCAATATGTGAGATATATTTTGCTAAGCTGGTGAAAGATATTACATGAAACATTTCTCAAACTCCATTATACAATTATTGTGGCCCTTAAAAATTCTCAGTGGTGCAGGAGCTGCAAATCTGAAAGCACCACATGCTGCATCTAAAGTGCTCAGCTACACTGGTAGCATAATCACATGGTTTGGTCATTTAGATGCAGCCCTGAGCCATATGCCTAAAGCACCTATGATGAGGCCAGAACCTCTGAAGGATACCTATATAAGTGAAAGCTAAAAATCGTGACCCTTTAACTGTACATTTTTCTGCATATTTAAACTTCTGAACATGAACTTAGTTTTTCTATCATAACCCAGGAGGTTAGAAGGCATCTAAAATTTTCTCTACAGCTCCAACAATGAGCAAATATTCTATTTTAAATGCTTGCTAATATTTGTATACTTCTGATTTTATACTATTACATTTTGTATACTTTAATGGACTTATTGCATATTAGTGTAGGTAAGGACCCATCTTTCCTGTTTTTTCAGTATGTTCCTGACAGAGCCTGTGATTGTGCAGCTTGCACAGCTCTTTTCTCCCTGCTGATGGAGGTACTGGGTTTTTGTTGTTTTTTTGGGGTGGGGGCAATTTCCAGTGCTTCCCTTACAGAAGAAATAATCTGAAGCTCAGAAAATGGACTTGCGGACAGACTTCAAGCTGCACTGTAATTAATATGAGAAACTCATCTATCAGCGATATAGAAATCCCATGAACCTAATATGCCACAGCTTTACACATGAAAATAGAAAGTCATCAGAAAATGCTTAGTTCTGAACTTAGTAAAGTAACTAAATTCCACATAGCATCAGCTGTCCCCTACCTAGTGCCCTTCAGATGCTTCAGACTACTATTTCCATGAGTCCCAGCCAGAGCAACTGTGCTAACTGGGGATGATGGGAGTTGCAGTCCAAAACATCTGGTGGGTACCAGATCTGAGAAAGCTGCACAGCATTCTGAATACTGTCAAATGGCAAGCAGGCCATGATGTGACAGTTTTCAAATTACTGAAGATTGAATCACTCATGATTAAGCATGTTCACAACAGAAGATTCTTAAAATGTTAGCTAATTAGTACATTAAGGTTTTTTTGTGTTTTGTTTGATATAAAGCTGTTTAGCATTATATCATGAGTATCTAACAGGGCCAAGATAAGTAACCACACCTCCCCCCTCCAGTTATAAGGTGTGCACATACAAGATTTGCTTATAAGTATGGCTGTAACAGCCAAGTATTTCTTACAGATAGTCTTTGTCTTCTGCATTGATTAAAAAAGGCATCCAAATACAGTATTTACACATCTGAGATTGCAAGTGTGTTGCAGTATGATTATAAAGTCAGGTCCCATATGAAATTCTGAAGTTTCCACAAAAGGAGGCTCATCATGGGTAAACAGATAACATTTGGTATCAATTCTTAAAGAGTGAACAGCACAACAGTTGCAGGTTTGGTAGTCGTTTGCCACTTTTACTTGTACTATCATGATCATAATGACTCCAAAGTCCTGAACAAAATGCATTCACACTGTCCCCCAAAGTGGTCAATACATTTTGCAAAGGTTTCATTCAAGTTCTTTGAAAGTAACACAGCAACACTAGCTGCTTCTCACACACTGTCCTTCAGCAAATGTGTTGGTACGAATATCAAAACAAAACAAAACAAAACCCATGTGTAGGACCGGCCAATAAAAAGGCCAACTAGAAAAGGTCACAAATCAACTTCACAAGTGGGCACATATGTGATCTATAACCCTTTGTTTGCAGAGGTATAAGTTTATGCAGGATCCACAGAAGTTCAAGTTAGATTCTTCAGAGAATAATTTAAAGCTTCATATATAAATTGGATGATATTGTTTGTAACCAAGCTTCTTCCTACAAGTTGGGCAAGAATTAGCATTTCTTAGCGAATCACGGAGGCACTGACTACAAAAGACATGACCACACTTTGTTGATACAATGAGCCGCCCACTCTGCACAATTTCAGAGTAGCCATCCATGCAAATTGGACAACTCACGGTACCTGAACGCCGTGAATTTGAAATTCCATCATCAAGCAATTCCAATTCTCTGGGCAATGTACCGGTCAGCACCACATCATTATCTCTTGCGTCATCATCATCACTACTTAGTACACAGCTGTCAGGCAGCTGTTGCCTTCTTAACTCTTGATTTCTTCGTCGAACATTTTCTTCAACTATCACAACAGAATCATTGTGTGTCAGATCAACGACTACTGGTTCTGAAGATTCACAAGTAAGGTCTACGACTTCTTCACAAGCACCTTCTTCGAGGTCAATTGGCTCTGCCTGTGAAGCGGTCTGTGAAGCTGCTTCAGCAGCTGAAGCAGCCATTCTACTTTGCTTGCGTGTTTGTCTAGAATTAATTGTCCCTCCACAACGCTTTTTGGGCACCTCGGTCTTCCCCATCCTTTCACTGGCAATCACAGGAGTGGCTGCTACATCATTTCCGGTGCTAGAAACTGTTGCTGGAGCAGCAGCCATTTGCAAGGAGGCCACAAAGGAAGTTGATGGGGATGAAGAGGGAGAGGCAGGGGTTGAAGCAGCAGGCCCTGCAGGCTTGATCTCCAGGGCACCAGAGAGACTTGCTAAGCCAAGGCCACTGCCCTTCTTATTCTTCTTGCGCTTGGCAGAACGCTTGGCATCAGTTGGGCTCATGGTACATAGAGGCAGAAGAGGCCAAACTCCCAATTAAACTAGTATTCTAGGAACAAAAGAAATGCATGATAAACCCTGATACATAACATAGATTGCCCATATACATATTTCCAAGTGACTAGTCACAAAACACAAGATTGTACCCACCCACATTGTGGTATGTGAATGTATTTTTTTTTTAAAAAAAAAAAACCAAATGCTCTATTCCTCCTAAGTATGGTCTTCTCACATTGTTCAACTGCCCCTTAGTCAACTGGGCTGTGCTGCAGCTGGAATGGAGGTTGGTGGTTCTTGGTGTCTCTGCCCCAATTCCTGGCTCAGAGAACAGATTCAGAACTGAACTAAGTCAGTATGCATCCCCTTTCAATGCACAAATAAGCATCAAGTCTACCTAAGTTTCACCAAGACCTCAGCATGAAATAGTTAAAATTGCCTACAATATATTATTAGCAATAGGGCACTGGAAAATAAATATCTATGCAGATACTGCAAATAAAACCCTTGCAAATGCCTTAAAAGCACTGAAATAGTGAATCAAGAAAACATTCAGATTTGGAGGGGTATCAATCTTAGCAGCTCAAGCTTGATGAGGGATAAGGAATATTATAAAAGAGTTAAGACAAACAGCAAGAGACTGCATTTTGAACTGCCCAAGAACTCATCCTTAGAGACAATATTGTGTTTAGTTTGTCAGGAAAGGTTCCCTGAAAATTCCCAACAAACAAATGTCTAGGCTGCTGATATTAATAGGGCTAGAGCACTTGCAAAAGCCCAGGCACAAGCAATGGCTACTGATCCATATGAAGCAGAAATGTATGTCATTTTATAAAGAGAAAATGTACAAAGAGTTAAAACATAAAGCTAAAAGATGGCAATGCAGCACAGAAATTAGCTGCACAAGTTGCTGACATGTTCTAAGCTCAGAGCATGCCCAGTGTAAAGGTCTACATGCTATAACCTTTTTGGAACCATTTTGCCCAGGCTGGCCAGATGCTTTCTGCTACTCAGGATCGCCCCCTTGTGACAAAGGTGAGATTTCCAGTCACGTGGTTTGCAACTGAAATCTCCTCTGGCTGGGCAGGAGAGCTTAGGTAAGCAAACTGAGAAGCAGCTCTTTCATACCATTACATGGATTGCTTCTCTCTTGCGGGCACGGGACATGTTGTGGTTTGCAAACAAACCCAAGCTGTGATGGGTTTTTCCTGTGCTGGCTGATTATTTAAGGGCTTCTAATGTTGATCTTGCTTCTCAAAAGTGAAATGGCTCTAGTACTTATGCAGTGCCCCTTTTCTTGCTTTGCGTTTCATGTCTTCTCATAATATTTTTGGTGGCTTGCTTGGAAGAATAAAGGTTTGCCCCCTTTATTTGGCTTCTGCTGCATCCTTGCTGTTTTTCCCTTAGGAATGCAGGTTGAGCCTGGCATTGGAGAGAACAGACTGGAAATTGGGGGGTGGGGTGGGATTTTTGTTGGGGGGTGTTCCCTTTATGTGTATCTGCCCATTCTGAAGATTTATTTTGTGTATCTGATGCATATTTAGTATAGAGAGAGGAGTGCAAGTAGAATAAATATTCTTATATATGAAATAAATAAATAAAAATTCCTGCTTATTTGTGACAGTGAGATTTACTGGATGTGTGCTGTCTGCTTTTTGAACCCAAGTCTGAAGCGTGAGACAGAGCATCTTTCTAGCCCTTCCTGGGGATGAGTTAGCAAAGCTTGCTGTGGACATCAAGTTGTTCTGGGTAATTTTTAACTAAAAGAGGCTGTGAGGCGCTCCAAAAGGACCCCTCCAAACTGGGGGAATGAGCATAAAATGGTAAATCTGATTCAGTGTTAACAAGGGTAAAGTGATGCATGTTGAAGCAAAACACCCTAACATTGTATATATGCTATTGAGGTTTGAGTTGACAGTGGCTGACCAAGAACAGAGATGTTAAGGTCATAGTGGATAGCTCAACTAAGATGTCGATCCAGGTTGTGCCAGCAGTAAAAAAACAGGAATTATATTTTAGGGGGAAATAGGAAATGGACTTAAAACAATGCTACGTTGGCAACTGACATCTCCATCTGGCTAGCCTCTCCGGCTTTCTTAAGCAGCTAAGCAGAAGAACTTATTCATTGCATTTATATCCCAGCTTTTTCTCCAAAGAGTACACACTTCATCCCCTCCCCAGTTAATCCTTACAATAACCCTGTGGGGTAGGTTAAGGGCTGTGACTGACTCCAATGTCACTCAGTGAGCTTCATGACTGAGGGGAGATTTTAACCCTGATCTCTAACCACTACACCTCACTGGCTTGCTAGAGTACTTCTGCTACTGGGCAGCTATAAATTAAGTAGATTAACAAACATGGGGAAAGCCAAATGTCACTTAGAGAAGGATCTGAAATATTTTCATTGAAGCTTGAATTTGTTTATTCTGGATGTTTATTTGAGGTTTTAATGTGTTATAAACAGCTTTGAGATTTTTCTTTAAAATATAAAGCTGTATATAAATGAAATTAATAATAATAGTAAACCCCACTAGGGCAAAATGGCACCTAGACATTCCGTTGGGGTGACCGTAACCCAAGTTTACAGTGCCATTTGGTGATTAGCTTATACACCTTAGTTTCTAACAATGGATAGAGCTCATCAGAAAGATGGGAAGTTCAACATCTGTCTATTAAATATATTAGCCACGTCACCTCCAGGAATTCAGTAAAACCAGATTATCTGCAAGGAAACTCCACCCGAGGATTTTTGGTACCATTTGGTACATAACACAGTGTACATCTCTCCCGGTATGCCCCATGGAGAGCCTCAAGGTCCATAAATAGCAACACCCTAGTGGTCCCGGGCCCTAAGGAAGTTAGATTAGCTTCAACCAGAGCCAGGGCCTTTTCAACACTGGCTCCGGCCTGGTGGAACGCTCTGCCTCATGGGACCAGTGCCCTGCAGGATCTGATTTCTTTCCGCAGGGCCTGTAAGACAGAGTTGTTCCACCTGGCCTTTGGCTTGGAGCCAATTTGATTCCCTCCCCCTTTCTTTTTTCTTTTTCCTTTCTCCTCCTGTGATGAGGCTGCATTTTAATATTTCAATATTTTAATGTTGTATTTTAATTTTGTTTTTAAGTTGTATTCATTCAACTTGTTTTTATTATTGCTTGTTAGCCGCCCTGAGCCTGGCCTTGGCTGGGGAGGGTCGGGTATAAATAAAAATTATTATTATCTACTGACTCAAGCCTGTTGTGTGCCACTTTGGGTGGGCTATACTAAAAAGGGTTACATACAATCTCATAATCAAGCTAATAAATGCCTTATCTCCATAATAGGGACTAGAACATCAGGCACTCACTGCCACTTCCCCAGCTCCAAAGCTAGGAGAAAGGCTAGAGGCTGGTTTGGCAGCTGAACCCAGGGGAAGCCGGGTGGTGGTGGGAGCACCACACTTCTATGTCGGGAAGAGGTCCTGACAGACAGGCTGGCAACTCCGATGTTAGGCTTGGTCAGCAACTATCCAGAGGCCTGCTTGCAACCTTTGAGCTGGGGAGATGTGAATTGTTGGTACAAACCTTCCAGGGCCGTCTCCGTTCACAGTTCGAAGGTCGGGGGAGGGGAAGAGGGGAGAGGCTGGGGCTCCTCGGAGCGGCGAGTCTAGGCCAAGAGCAGCTCTTTGGCGCGCCAAGGAACGAGATAGTGCGCACTTCCTGTTCCCTGCCTAGCCCTAGACCACCACGATTCCAAAAAGCCTCCCATCGCTGCCCCCTTGCGCAGAGCTCGAACCACACCCAAATATATTCGTTACAGTTTCGATTCTGAGGGGTTGCCTCCTTCCCGCCCCAGCCCCACGGAACCCTCAGCCTTCAAAGCAGCCCCACTGAAGGGAAAGGCCCTGCCGAGGAGCGGCCTTTCTGAAGACGACAGCCAGGGCCTACCTGTCACGAACATCCGGCGTATAATGGCAGTCTTTCGAGAAAGGCCTCCCCGACCCTCCTCTGTACGGGACGAAACTACCTCAGAACAACCTCTAGCGGCCGCTCCCGCTACCCAGAGGCCCCCAAAGAGGAACAAACCCTTTCTTAAACCCACCACAGAAACGGACGACGCTGCAGAAATCCACACGGCCGCACTTTCCCGAGCAGCCTCCCTCCGAAGACTCGCGCGCACCTTCCTCTCCGAGGCTCCCACACAGCTCTACACCCGACCGCTGAGAACGTTAAAACGTCACTTCCTCCTCCTCCACCCCCCCCACCTCCGCAATTCGACAAATGCCGCGCAAGCGCGCCGTCGCTATTTGCTCGGGCTGTTAACATACGGGACATTTATGGCGAGCGCGCGCGCCGACGGACGGCCGTTTCCCCCGCCCTCGTCTTCGGAACCACGTGATAGGAGTCGGGGACGGAAAGGGAAAAGTCGGCTGCAATGTCGTCAGTGGTAGAGGGAGGGGGGAGAGCGGAAGGTCAGGGCGCCGCGGAGCGGAAGTAGGATCCGGAGCGCGTCCGCCATTGTGGGAAAGCGGAGCCCGGAGCAGGGGAGGGAAGCTGAGCTGTGTCCAGCTGGTTGCTTTCGGAGGCGCCGAGCAGACTAGAAGTGCCCGGGCTGCGGAGACAGTCAGGCGGCGGCGGCGGGGAGAGCGGCGGAAAAGGCGGCGGCGGGGAATTGAGGAAGAGCGGGAGGAGGAGGAGGAGGCCCAAGCGGAGCGGGGTGAGGGGATTGCGGCTCCCCGTGAAGAATGTCAGCCACCAGCGTCGACCAGGTACGGTCTCCGCCCGGCCTGGCCTGGCCGGGAGGATGGCTCGGCCTCCCCTTCCTCACCCCGTCCCGCCCTCCTTCCTCTGGGCATAGCGGGGATCCGCGCCCGCTACATCCGAGGCCGTGCGGCTCCTCCCCTGTTCCCAGGCCCGCCCCCTCCGCAGGCCTGGAGGCCGCTCGGCCTGGGGCCTCCCCGCGGAGGCCGTGAGGCGAACCCGTTGCTTCTCTTCACGAGCAGGCCTTTGCCTCTCCGGGGGCGCCTTCGCTTTCCGCGCCAGCTTCGCCCTCTGCCCGCTTTCCTGTGCCGTCTTCGGTTTTCCCTCGCAAGTGGACTTGGAGGGATCCTTACGGCCACCGTTAAACGTCCTTCGTAGTGCAGCCGCCTCTCGTATCTCGTTCTTGCGGTTATATGTTTCTTGGCGTTTCATTGATTGATGGCATGTCTTCATGCGTGTTTCCGTATCTGCTTATTTTGTTTTCATGCAGCTATTCCATGTACACTTTTTTCTTTCTTTCACACTTTTCTGATCTCCTTATCCCCCCTCACAATTCCTTCACCAATTCTCCCCATGGTTGTTTTTCTATTCTTGATCCTCTCGGTCTCACCCTTCTGGGTCCCCCCCCCCCCGTGTAAACATTATTTTTGCAGCTGAGAGCAGATAATGGAGGCCTCTGGTGAACGTTAACTTGGGGGATAAATCTTGCAAACCAGAATCCATGTCTGCACAAGTTTCATTTTTAAACCTGGAATGTCACTTTTGAAAATACTTGCTTTTAGTATTGGCTCTTCAGCTAGTACAGGTTTTTCTTCATTCTGTCAGGATTGAGTAATTTGCAAAAGTCATTGCAGGGTCAGAGTCATAAAGTCTATGTGAAAACAGAGGGAAACAGGAATTGTTTGTAATGGGAGCTTTATTTGGGGGCAGGGAAATGCACTTAATGAAGTAAAAATATTTTAACATGGTGTGTAATAAATAGTATAGTCCGCAATATGGCTAGCTGATGTAACAGTTCTGATTTTATTCAGCATCGAAGTGTAGCATTCTTAAGGTACAGGACTAGGGGCATGCAACAGTACAGGCAACACCCCATTTGTGTGGGGGTTGCGTTCCAGGTCATTACGCATTTGTGTGAAATCAGAAACTAATTGAAAAAGTCTACAAACACCCATTCTACCCATTTAGTGACATTTCAATGACATCTTTATAACGTTTCCGGGTTCAGCACGTGTGCAGCGATTCAGTTGCACCTAAAATGGGAGTGGCCTGTACCTCACCAGAACATGCTATTCGGTCCTTGTTGCATATTTTTTTGCATTTTACAGGCACCTTTTTATAACTGATTTGATAATAGCAATACATGCATAGTTTTAAGAAATAAAAGCAGGCATAGTACAGTGAAGAGTTTAGCTTCTACAAAATCATCTGATTATACTTTTTATAGTGCCACACATAAATATTGGATGACTGTTCCATTTTGTTTCTGAATGGTAAACTGTAGTTAGGTATCTTAATGTGTACAGTAATATTGGGAGTCTATCAGTGATCCCAATAAACAGAATTTAGAATGCATCAGGCTTGCAGCACTTTAGTCATAGTTCTTTCTTTTTAATAAAATGGCTTGTATTTTACCATCTTGGGGTATCTTAAAATCACCAAAATTATTTGATCTTTGTGATAACTTTAATGTTCGGTTCCCCTAATTTTTGTTTGTTTGTTTTTCTTGTTTTATCACTAACAGAGACCTAAAGGACAGGGAAATAAAGGTAAGTTGATTCTTCTGTGTTAGGTTCACTGACATGAATAGAGTAATTCAGTGATTTCTCTGTAGTAGACAGTTAAGTGTAGCAGATGCATTCAATTGACAGTTTATACTGGAGTAGTAGTAGTAGTAGTAGTAGTCATCATGAGACTGCACCAGACAGTGAATCATTTTTTTCACTTATAAAGTGGACTTTCCCAACATTTTTGTGTGTTACATCATTCTTAATATATTGATTCTGCAACAGCTTCCATTTGCATATCAGGACTTCTCCTGTGTTGTCCCCATATTTCTGAGGAACCCTCAGAACAGATTGGTGGGGGGGAGCAGGGGAATTCCTCTTCTGCTCATGCAATTATTTAGCTGAATACCTCCCATTATATAGAGTAATTCAGGCACCAGTCTATTCCCACTTATGTTGAACTCAGTGGGACATCTGAGTAGTCATGTGTAGACAGAATTGTGCTGTCAGAATGCTTTATACTCAGCCAAGAGTATAGAGTCATATATGAATCATACTCTGAGTAGTACGACCTATTAAAATCAGCTAAAAATTAAACCGGAAAGCAAAACGTAAAGCCATTAAAATTCCAATAAAAGCTGATAAGCAACAGTACACTTTATGAGCTTATGCAAAGACCATAAAACAAGAAGACAGTTAAATACCTGCCAGAACAAAAAGGTAGTGAAAAACCATCAAAAATGTTTCTGTATATGAAGGGTTAATAATTGTGCTCATGTGCATGGTATTGTAGGAATGGTTCTTCATTTAGCCTAGTAGCAAGTGTGCTAAACTGATGATGAGTGGTGAGCATATGTGCATGAGAATTTTGAGTCCTAAAACTGTGAGACATACTGGCAAATGAAACAAAAAGTGAATGTAGCATGTCATTTATCTCTGCATACAGGATAGCATCATGGTATGCTTTAATCTTTAGTGTATTCTTTATCCCAAGCTTTTGGGAGCTCATTAAAAAATCGAACATCTGCATATAGCTATACTGCTAAAATATATACATGGGAGAGTTAAGGACTCCATTTTGTTAGAAGTGAGAGATAAAGCTTGCTAAACATTATATGGTCATAGGCAGTTACCTAGTCATAGCTTAACAAAGGGTGAAATTGTTTGGTATGCATTGGATCAACCTTTCTCAAATATTGAGAACTGTTCAGTTATTGAACTCCTAAAATTTTAGCTGTTTCACATGTGCACTTTACATCACATCTTCATTGGGATACTTTAGCGCACTTAATTTTCTGTAGAGTAAAGACAAGCAAAGAAGTGAGCTTCCCAGTGGATAGGTTCACTCGCCAACATCATATGAATGAATTTCCAATTGCAAAAGGGAATTCCCCTTTAAATCCCCCAGATGTGATCCAAATCTGCTTTGTCAATCAATGTAAAGTTTTTTTGTTTCCATTATATCACGTTAATATCAACAAGAGAAGCTAGATTGAATCTTGTCTCGGCAGGAAAGATCTCTAACCAGCAGTTCAGCTACTCCCCTACTCTGGTTCTCTTCTCCCCCCATCCTGTGCTTGAAGGCTTGTATTTTAGGTATGCATATTTACTTAGAATCAACTCTTGTTTGGTTTAGTGGTCTTTAGTATTAATGACTTTTGTATGCTGATCCATAACAGAGTTCTCAGGACTTATTGTAAAGCTAAAAACAACTTAAATACAGAATAAGGCATAACATCAAAAGCATAATAAATACAAGAAAACAAAACTCACCACAACACCAAAGTTAAAAGCATTGATTTTAAAAAAGGCCCAGATTACACAAGTTATTTAAAAGGCCTGATCTTTACCCTGGGACTTAAGTAGCCTTAGTAGGCTATTCTATAACTGGAGTGCCCATAACTGAGATGCCTGTCCTGATTGTTACTCACCTTATTTCTTTTGTTAGAGTTTCTCAGGGAAACATGTCAGCCACCAGCATCCAAAAAAATAAAATAAAAATCCCATGGTTTAGGCACGTATAGATAAGAAGAGCCTTGTGCTAAAGATTAAGCACTTTCACTTGTGCCTTGTCATAGCCATACTATTCCTAAGATATCTCCAGTATCTGTTTTCCCCTGCTTTTTTTTTTAACTCTTCAGCGAATGAGAATTCATAATCTTACTTAAGGAACATATTGAAAGTCTGTGCAGCTAGAGCATTGGACTTACATGTCTAATCTCTGGTTGAAATCCCTGCTGATCTATGAAGCTCACTGGCACTGTGTATCAGCCTAACTTACGTCCAAGGGTTGTGGTAACGGCAAAATATCACTAAGCTTCATACATCAAAATAAGGTGCAAATATTTTTTTATAAACTGACAAATTTATTATTCCCATTTGAGTGTGCATAGAATTGCAGTCTTAGCTGTACAGATGCCACTGAATAAGACATTGATTTGCTGGTAGTGACACCGTGGGTTTAGTGGTGTATTCCCCGTTCCAAAGAAGAGAGACATGAAACATAAAACTGTACTTGAAAAACACCGTTGGTAACTGTGGATATAGCATGTGTTTTCATGTAAATCAAATGATTTGATTATTAAGATTCAACTTGCAGTTCAATAATTCATTTAGAGAAGGACACAAATTTATTTTGCAGCGTAAATTGTTTGTACCTTAATACATACAGAACTTCACTATATACTGGCTGATAACTGTTTCTGAGTTCATAATTCCTTTTAAAGCACATTTTACTATTTGAGGAGAATTGCTAGTATGTGACTCCCTCTTTTCCAATACAGGGTTGGTCTCCTTTCAAGCATGGTATCACTTTAGTCACAGGAGAAATGGCTGTCTTTTCTCTGATGAGACACTGGAGAAGGTTTTGAGTTTTTCTGCATCTGTTTATTTAGATATTTAAATACCACCTGTTATGCGGGCAACTCAATGCAGCAATATCATAAAATGTAATACAAAGAAAATGAAAATAATCAGACAATAAACATTCTTAAAATTCCATAGCCGCTGGAATCTGTATCCACCAAAAGCTATATAAAACAAACAAAAAAGCAGTGGAATTGCACCACTATTGGCACATTTATTATTTGGGGGAGGGGGTATTCGATAGTGTGGACTCTGTCACAGAAAAGGCCCTTGTCCCAGTTAATGCTATCTGCAGGCTATGGCACAATCAGAAGGGCCTCTGCAGATGTTCTTACTGGCAGGGCATGCTTGTCTAGAGAAAAGCGTTCTCTCAGATAACCTGGTTCCAAATTGTTTAATAACAAATCCCGAAACACGGCTTGATAGCAAATTGGCAGTCAGTGCAGTTCCTTTAACGGTGGAGTTGCAGTCTCATGGCCAGTAACTTAGCAACTACATTTTGTGCTAACTGCAGCTTCCAGACCAGTTTTGAGGGTAGACCCACAGAAAGCACATTACCGTAATTGACACTCTATTCCAATGCATGGGTCACTGTAGCCAGGCTGTCCCTGGCCAGGATTAGCTACAACTGGAGTAATGACTGAAGCTGGTAAAAGGCGGTCCCTGCTGCTGTAGTCACATGGGACTCCAGTAACAACTATAGGTAGAGGAACACCCCCACTCCTTCACATGGAATGCAGTAGACAAATACAGGACAGACAAACTGCCTACATTCTGGATTTGGAAACTAGTCACCTACAGGATCTCCATCTTGCTACAATTCAGCTTCATTGACTCTTATCCAGCCCATTGCTGTGCCTAGGGCTGCAGAGCCCCAATTGAACAAAAGTAAAGGCCCTTCTTTCTCCCTCACCACATTTCTCTTGCTTCTGCAGTCAGATTTGGAATGTATTGTACTAATGAACTAAAATGTCACATTTCCTTATTTTGCATATATTTGGGGATATAATCAGTGTTTTCAAAATGTTTAAATCATTGCAACAGGAATTGTGGGGGTGGGGCACATCATCTGCTGTGAATGGATTTCTGGCTTGCTGGCTTACTGTCTTCTCTGTTCACTTCCTTCTTGAGGTATTCTATAACTTTGTCTGCTTCATGTGAAAGTGCCACTTTCAAAAACACAAACAAAAAGACAAATGCTCAGAGAATCTAGTAGCATTAAAGGGAATGTTTTGGGCATGGACAAAAGTTTCACCTTTTCTAATGAACACAGAAGTGAATGAGGAAAGAACGTGGAGTTTAGATTAGACCACGATCTACTCCCAGTATAAAACAACTGGCAGTGATCTACCCATTGGGGGCGGGGGGAGGCCAAAGTTGTTGAGCTTTTTTGGTTTTGTAACATTGAATAGGGTTTCAAAAGTGGTAGACTTACTGAATGGCACTGTTTTTTTCAGAGGATCTGATGAAGCTACTTCATCTTTCCTTATTGGAGAAGAATGACGGAGATGCAGGAAAGAATGGACTCTTGAAAGATAAATTGATGGAAATTTGTTTGTGGCAGGAAAGGTTTTAGATGTGGAATAGCTCCTGTTGCTTTTAGGTGTGACTATCTCATCCACGGGAAGTGGTGTTTTGCTGTTGTCTAGTTTGGGTCTTTTATGGTTCTCCAGATTTTTCTCTACAGTTAAGTGAAATAGCTGTCTAAAAAGTGCAAACAGGAATTCTTGCACCAAGAAGAACACTTAACAGGGCAGCTCGGTTAGAAGTATGGCTGAACATGTTAGCTATCTGGGTGTAGATGCTGCAGAATGCAGATGCTATGCAGCTTCATAGCTGTGTGCGTGGTTTTTAATTGAGTTAGTGATCCAAAGTTTTGGATACTAGTTTTCAGCTGCAGTCTTTAGTTTCAGATCACCTATGTTCTTTATACAAATATGAATAACAACGTAACTAGCCAAGGTATAAATTTCATTAGGTGCATTGACTCCTTGAAAAATCTGTGTGAAATGCATGGGGCAGATGGTTGTTTTTCTTCTAAGCAAAATTAAAAACGCCACAAAGCTCTGAACACACAGTGAATACAAATTACATTTCACAAGTTACTTTGCATATGATGCGAAGGACCTGAAGGTAAGGGGTTTTTTAATGCTAGGAAATCCTGATGATCTTTAAGTGTCCTTGTCGTCCCCCACCCCCAAAAATTATTGCACTGTTTCCCACCCTGTGTGTGTGCAGGGCATAATTTCCTCCTGGAAAAAAACTTTAAGCTGCCATTTTCTTACTAATATATATGCATATGTAGTTGCTTTGTCCTTATGATTGGTTGGATGAGCTACACAATACAGCTGGACTTTGTGTCTGCATTGTGAAATTGGAAACCTAAGTTCTCATGAGTCCATCTTAGTTACTTAGAGGGCAGAGTTTATGTTGTAAATGCTCAGAACATCTCTGGGTCTTGTTTACTGTCAAGAAGTACAAAACCTGCTTTTATTGTGACTGCTTGTGTGGCAGGTTTACTGCAGTGCACCTGTAGAAGTCTTGGGTTGTCAGCTCACATGTAAAAAACTGTTACCATTACTCTTTGCAAATACATTCTTTGTATTTGGTATTAGGAATTGCTTTGTGGGGTGGGGTGAGAACCCTATTGCTGGCAAGGTAAACAAAACCAGATTCATGTTACATTATTGGAAAAGTAGGTCATGCCAAGGCAAAGGTCTAGCTTGTGTGTGCATGTCTGCCTTGAAAGCTGTGCTTGTGCTCTAATTCTTTTGCAGAGAATAGTAGGAACATACAAACAGGAGATATGTGTGTGTGTGTGTGTGTGTGTGTGTGTGTATGAGAGAGAGAGAATGATTAATCTGTAGAACTAGTTTGTGTTGCCTTTTCATTTCATTTGCTTGAATTTAACTAGAACTGGCTTACTAAAAATGTTTGCATGCATTTTTGCTATTTTCAGGTAGAAAACTTTTGTATCGAGTACTCGGCATAGAGCTCTATTAATAAAGGTGTCTGCAAATTTCATTTTTGAAGTGAACAATTGCTGCAAATATACTATATTGTTTCTAGCTATGTTAGAAGTGATATTTCAACAGCTAAGCACTTTTTAGACTATTCCATTCTTAACTATGGAGAGTTGGTTTCCCTGCTTTCTGTAGGTTTCCCATCTGTTGAGGTGTTGAATTTACAATGTTCCCTTAGGATGTCAGGAAAAATGGTTTAGTGTCCAAATATTTTATATTGGAAAATTATGCCAGCTAAGTATACCTGCAGAAGATGGTATGGGAAAGTGTTTAGTTTAAGTTATTTGAACAGAGCAGTTAAATCTAATATTTATGCTTGCATATGAATCCATAAAACTTCAACTTCAGTTTTAATACATATAACTAGACAAAAAGTGCACTCCTATGAATTACCTTGTTTCTGTTGAGAGTAGGGCTGGGTTATCAATATTGCAGTATATCACCAGCTAAACATCTCGATATATGGCAACATCTGAAATAAGGAAGGAACTACACAGAGGCAAACAGGACAACGTCCTGGCATCTGCTACTACTTAAGGGTCTAAAACTAATAAATGAGGGTATTATCAATCACTTCATGGTCTCTTTCAGCAGCAGGCAAGCCAAAATGCATCCATAGGCTGCTATTGGTTTTTTGAATTCTAGGATGCTTGTAGTGTGTTGCTGCCTGCTAAAGAAATATTCTGGTTTTTGAAACATTTTTTTCCATCATGTGTTTTTAACAACTAAAAAGTTAGGCATAGGACTTCTAGAAGATGTCTAATTTCAGTTATGTTTCAGTTTCAGTGCAAAACGGTTCGATTCATCAAAAGGATGCAGTAAATGATGATGATTTTGAGCCATATCTAAGTAGCCAGACAAATCAGGTGAGTATTTACAAGAATACACCTTTTCTTGTAAGCTAGTGAGTATAGTTTTTAGTTGGTTATTCCTTTATAATAAGCAAGTAACACAAAACAGTGTAAATGGTTTTATAACAGACCATTGTAAGTTTTCATAGTATTTGTAAATCTCTTAAACAGTGCTAAATGGATTTGTACGAGTTAGGTTCCAAATGAGCGAAGTTACTTTAAGCAGAGGGATCCACTTAAGCTTAATTAAATCTATCTTAAATTAAGCATACCTGTTGTGTGTGCACAGAACAGTACACAAATCTCATGCCCTACTCCTGTAGCAGCCTACAGCGCTACATCCCATTCCATTTCCTTCAGCAGTTGGGATTGGATGGAGAAAGAGTTAATAGTCCAGTCATTTTTCTTATGATTCAGCCTTTGGTTAGCTTTTGATTTTCTGCTCCCTTTCTGAATTCTTACATGAGTTTCAAGTCCAACAAGGATTCTTCCATTTCAGGGAATTTTTGCTTGCAGAAGATGCATGTTGAGAGGCTTTGGGGCAAGGTATTTGGAAAGAAAGTGCAAGAAAGTGGTATTTCTATCATTTTGTATGTGTGTACTGTGATGGGAGAAACAGTTTATATCCTTATGCCCAACCTTCTATACATTGTTAGTGGTTTTGTATGCCTAAATTTGCATGGTGAGTAAGAAATGCAAAGAATATGTGGTGCTTTTTATTGGGCCAGTTCCTTTTGGTGTCGAATGGCCTTGCAGCCAGTCAGTTGCTAGGCAAGAACATACATTACTTGATCCAGCACTCAAACAACCTTTTGAAAAACACACATGTAGATGAGTGAGCTGATAAAACCTTGTGGGTTTGATCCATTCTTGAATTCGAGTTCTGCTCTGTAGTGGGAAGTGACTTTGCTGATTTCTCCTTGCCTCTGCCTTTCCCTGAAAAGCTGTTTTGGAGGTTTGGCTGATTCTCTGGAAAAGTGTGGCAGTTCCAGGGGCAAAAATCACGTCTCTCCCTCCACTGGAAAGCTTCTGCTGGGTACTGGTTGCTTTTGCAAATGGAAGGATCCAGCTACGCCAAGGGTGGCATAGTTTATGCAAACTTTGGAGTTTAATATTCTTTATGTATACATAGAGCAGATAATTGCATTTTCTATTTTTTGTTATTGGGAAAATAATGGTGACAAGACTCAAAATGCCAAACACAGAACTTTAAAATATTGATTCAAGATTGAACAATTAGAGCAAGCTAAGCGAATTAGGAATTGGATCTGGACCAAATAAATCAGCAATTTTTTTTTTCCTTTCTTGCAAATGCTAGTCATGGGTGGCACATGGGCAGCCCAAAAGGAACCCTCACACTTATAAAAACTTCCTTGTTTGCTCATATAGAGGTGTTCTTTTATTTTTTACAACAAATGTAGCTAAGCTATAGCCTTTAAGATGTTATTGGACTATCATCTCTGACCATTGGTCATGCTGTCTTTGGAGCTGGGAGCTGGGAGTCCAAAATCATATTGAGGGCCTCAGGTTAGCTACCCCTGGTTTCAAGTGAGCTAGGTGACAGGGTTTATCAGTACTTGAAGTTCCTTTTCACTGTGCAGGGTGAACTTATTTACAGCTTGGCAAGGAACATGATGAGTTGTTAAATATATACACTGAACCTTATCTATACACCAGAGGCAGGTTTCTCAGGGGATTGTTGGTACACATACATGTTGGGCTAATGGTCATGGTCAGTACTGAATCTTTGATCAGCTGTTCAGCATGGGAGAGAGGCCTAGAAATAGGACAGGAATTTGCTTATAGGAATAAAAGAAATAAAATGACATCCTGATAAAAAACAGGAAAAGCACTCCTGTTTGGAGATGGAAGAGAATTTTTTAATTGCTCAAAGCACTTTTAATTGTGTTATATTAATTAAAACGGTGTAGGCTGTAATTACTTTGGTTTTGTATGTGAGATTAAAGATAACAAAGGTATCTCTTTTAGATCTCTTTGCTTGAATTTTTTTTCTGTTTAAAATTCTAACTGTGTCAGAAATTTGCTTCAGATGTCCATAAATGCGTATTTATAGGCAAATAATGTAGATGTAGCAATAGAATGATTCTTACACTGATATGTTTTCCCGCAGAATAATAGCTATCCACCAATGTCAGACCCATACATGCCTAGTTATTATGCTCCATCCATTGGATTTCCGTACTCTCTGGGTGAAGCGGCATGGTCCACAGCAGGAGATCCTCCAATGCCATACTTGACAACTTACGGACAGATGAGCAATGGTGAACACCACTACATCCCTGATGGTGTCTTTAGTCAACCTGGGGCTTTAGGAAACACCCCTCCATTCCTTGGTCAGCATGGATTTAATTTTTTCCCTGGGAATGCAGATTTCTCAACATGGGGGACAAGTGGATCTCAGGGACAATCGACTCAAAGCTCTGCTTACAGCAGCAGCTATGGCTACCCACCTAGCTCTCTTGGTAGAGCAATAGCCGATGGACAGGCTGGATTTGGCAATGATACATTGAACAAGGTGCCTGGTATTAGCAGCATTGAGCAAGGCATGACTGGACTGAAAATTGGCGGTGATATGACAGTCGCTGTGACGAAAACAGTTGGTTCCGCTCTGAGTAGTACAGGCATGACCAGCATTGCAGCAAATAGTGTGCCTGCGGTTAGCAGTTCAGCACCTAAACCAACCTCATGGGCTGCCATTGCTAGGAAGCCTGCTAAGCCTCAGCCAAAACTTAAGCCTAAAGGTAATGTGGGAATTGGGGGCCCTGCGGTACCACCTCCCCCTATAAAACACAACATGAATATTGGAACTTGGGATGACAAAGGGTCTGTGGTAAAAGCTCCCCCAACCCAACCAGTACTGCCTCCTCAGACTATAATGCAGCAGCCTCAGCCATTAATTCAGCCTCCTCCAATGGTGCAAAGCCAACTGCCTCAGCAGCAGCCTCCGCCTCAGCCGCCACAAGGACCTCAGCAACAGGCTCCGCCTCATCAGCTGCAGCAGCAGCAGCTGCAAAATCGCTGGGTGGCTCCTCGCAATAGGGGTGTAGGCTTCAATCAGAGCAATGGAGCTGGCAATGAAAACTATGGTATAGGTGTTATACCAGTTAGCTCTTCACCTTCTGGTGTAGAAGTGCACCCAGTATTGGAGAAACTAAAGGCCATAAATAACTATAATCCCAAAGACTTTGATTGGAATCTGAAGAACGGTCGTGTGTTTATAATCAAAAGCTATTCGGAGGATGATATACACCGCTCCATTAAGTATTCTATCTGGTGTAGTACTGAGCATGGTAATAAGCGCTTGGATGCTGCCTACCGTTCACTGAATGGAAAAGGCCCACTCTATTTACTTTTCAGTGTGAATGGCAGTGGACACTTCTGCGGAGTAGCTGAGATGAAGTCTGTGGTGGACTACAATGCATATGCTGGAGTCTGGTCTCAGGATAAGTGGAAGGGGAAGTTTGATGTTAAGTGGATCTTTGTTAAAGACGTTCCAAACAACCAGCTGCGGCACATTCGCTTGGAAAATAATGACAACAAACCCGTTACCAACTCGAGGGACACTCAAGAAGTACCCCTAGAAAAAGCCAAGCAAGTGCTTAAAATAATTGCTACTTTCAAGCATACCACCTCAATCTTTGATGACTTTGCACATTATGAAAAGCGTCAAGAGGAGGAGGAAGCCATGCGTAGGGTAAGAATCTAATGTTATAATAAACTTTTTTCATGCTTTTTGGAGTTTGGGGTTTTTAAAAAAACAGATCTGCTTGGTTTTTTAATATGTAAAACAAAAAGTAATTAGAAATGGGTTTAGATGTTAAAGGCCAAGGCATGTAACGTACTCAACAACACTTCCTTGCAAGCACATTTGCAAATACAATTTTCCATTCTTCATAGCATTTTACTTCTGCATTAAAACCTTCAGCTAAGTAACTAAACTTCGTTGGCAGTCGATTGAAAAAATATGTATTTTAATGGTTTCAGTAGCAAATGGTACTTGTTCCTTAAATCATTTCGTTGCCTGTTTTGTTTTGTGACATTTAAACAAAAAATATGTATATGGAAGTTGTGATGTCTACATGTTTCAACTGTTGTAATAGTACAATTTTTTTAGATGCATAGAAAAAGCCACATAACACAGAAATTGAGAGCTTGTTAGGAATTTAGACTGCTATCCTATGCCCATTTACTTGATGGTAAGCCCCATTGAACTCAGTAGGACTTGCTTCTCATAGAGATGCATAGGAAAGAAAAAGAAAATGTCAACATGAGTTTAAATGTGTTTTGACCCTTTGTAGTTGCTTTTTTGTGAAACATTTCTTATCAAATGTGCCTGGCAGGACAAATAGAAGGGGCTGTATTCAGGCAATGTGTTTCTCCTGATGGAAGGCACTTTAATACAGTGGAACCTTCCAGGGGTCAAGGCAAAATTGTGTTTTTCCTGGCCCCTCTGCAGCCCTCCAGCCTGCTTTGCAAGGTTGAAGAACCCTTTAGAACAGCTTCAGTCCTTGAAGGCTCTGCTGGATCAAAGAGCCTTTCATATGTAAAGGGGCATCATTTGGCTAAACCCAAACAACATTTACGCAGAAATAAATTAACCCAACCCAGGGCTGATTCTTATGATGACCTAGTTATCTTAGGGGAGAATAAAGAGTTGGTAAGAGACTTGAAAATTCTCCCTTCTTATGTGGGATATGCCAGGCGTTGATTGTGGATTGTTCTACATGCAAAACAGGCACTTGCCACCAACCTGTGGACCCCACTTTATTCCATAGGTACTTACTGCTGTAAGCACATGCCAATCCAAGGTATCTTGTCCCATACCAAATGTTATTTATGAAGACCTGAGTGTTTTTGTAATTTACAATAAAAATTAAACAAACAGACTCTTAGGGGCAGTACAAAAGGAAAAATGGATGAAGAAAGAAGATGAAAATAAACAAATTCAGGTATCATTCCTTACATAAGAGCTGTCCAAACTTTTCATGTTGGCGACACACTTTTTAGACATGTATCATTTCACAACACAGTAATTCAGTTTTACTCTTGTTAGCTACATACCCTGCTAGCTGCTGATGGAGTCAACTTGCTGGAAAAGACTGTGTACAGTGTATGAACTTGTAAGCTCCTGTACTGTTCAAATGGAAGGAGGAATTATTGTAAATAAGTAGTAGATGGATTCTCCTTTAAGAGTAGGAGAAATATCCTAACTTCTGAATGACTGCTTGGCATGATCTTGTGTCCCCATTCCAGGTCTCCTCTGTGCACCACAGAAAGCTTTTTATTCCATAGGAAGCTGGTGAGAAGGATTCTATGTCATTGTTTGTAGGATGGGAGCAGTTTGGAGAAGAAGAAAAAACAGTGTTACAAGTAGTTAACTAGGGATTAACTAGGAGTTCTGAAGAAGGCTTAAAATAAACTTGCTTGTAATCAAGGAATTCAGTGGCAGAGGAGATGTTGGGCAGAATCTGTTCAGTTCATAATCAAAAGTGGGTTTGAGAATTCTGATTCAGGTGTGGCTACATAGTAGCCAGCCATTGCTAAATTCACATTGAATGGCATTGGTTAACAAAGCAAATGGGACACTAAGTCTGGTCCTCAGCTGAAGTTGTGACAGAACCTTGAACAGAAGAAAAGGCTGAAGAATAAAAAGTCTCTTTGACCCAAGTTGTCATGTCTTTTGTGCTTCTCATGGTTGATTTTTCTTTGGTGGGATCTACAGAGTGGAACTGAATAAACAGTTTTGTTTTAAGCCCAGGTAGTTTTGCAGTGTTTGAAGAGAAGAAAAAATTATACCTACATATGAAGAGTTCAGCCACGCTCCATAAATAAGCAGGATTCCTTGGGTAGTCTAGTAATGATGCTGCATACAAAATGGCAACTTAAATGTTTATACTAATTGGTTCTTCTGTTTACAAATTTTCTGTAATGGTTCTTTACTTCGACTTTCATTTCAGGTGGTTGTGTTTGTTTTGTTTTTCATACAGTCCTTGTTATTAAGATAATTACACTTGCTATTAGAGATGCATATACAGGCTAGTTCCAGTTTTCTATTTACAAGGTGGCTTTTGGAATTATTCTTGTGGTTGTAGACACCTGAAATCAGATGGGGTACATCATCAACCAAGTTGCTAAGATTATTGCCTATTGTCCTCATGTAAATAGCACATTTTACAAATAGGTTGATCTGCTGGGTTTCTATTCATTTTAAAGGGTGTAACTGGATTGTTGGAACAGTACAGAAATTCTAGTGCTACTAATTGTGTTTCTATCAAACCTGTGCCTATCTTTATATTGCACTGGCTTACAGTGGTGCCTAATATGTTGGGTTCCATGGGCATGTTGGGAATTTTGAATATATTATAGTGCTGTCATAAAATGGCTGTCATGGGGTTGTTCCCCTTCACAAAATGACTTGCATGCTGGGTGGAGCCAGACACAAAGTACTCATTTCACATTAAACCAATCGAGATACCAAAGGTTGCACCTGCAGCCCCAGAAAGAGAGAGGGAGATGAACAGGCAGCCTCAACAGAAGAGTGCACAGATCCAGACAAGGAAAAAAAAACAAGTACACATTGCCCGAGAGAGAAACAGAGTCCCAGAGGGTGAGGTAGGAAAGCACACGGTTCAGGAACCAATAGAGGAGAGGATCATGTGCATAGTCTCTGAGAGGCAGAAACACAAATTTGCTTTGTTATATCTTCTTTCTTGTCCCTTCAGTCACCTTTTTCTTTGTTTCTAAACATTTGTACAGGATTCTTTCCACTCATGTCTCTCAACTTAATGTTTTGGTGCTGGTCAGCCTGGAAAAGTTCATAGACTTAAGACAGGCCATAGAAGGTGGTAATGCTTTTACTACTACTACTTTTTTCAAGACTGATCACACTCTTTACAGCTTGGAAGGGCAGGCACTGTGTGTCACAGAGACATTTTAAGCACCAAGTGGCTCAATGGGTGCAATCGGAACCAAAACTGTTCTAAAAACCAATTAACTGTTATTGCCAACCTAGCAGTTCGAAGGCACGTCAAAAAGTGCAAGTAGATAAATAGGTACCACTCTGGCGGGAAGGTAAATGGCGTTTCCATGCGCTGCTCTGTTTCACCAGAAACGGCTTAGTCATGCTGGCCACATGACCTGGAAGCTGTACGCCGGCTCCCTCAGTCAGTAAAGCAAGATGAGCGCCGCAACCCCAGAGTCGGTCACGACTGGACCTAATGGTCAGGGGTCCCTTTCCCTTTACCTTTTTATCCGTTACGTATGCAGCACATTGTTTTAGTCCTTTGTGTTCTAGGCAGGGCATCAAACTATTTAAATTTTCTGAATTGATTTAATTTTGGTTCTGCCTGTTAACTCTTGGTTTGATTTCACAAGGAAAAGGCTCAATATTTACAAAATGACACTGATTGGTATCTGCAGTAATCTGATTAAATAGTGAGTTAATCTTAATTCTAGGTGACTACGCCGAAGAAACACCTATTGTTTGTACAGAAAACTTTGAGCAAGGATGAGAATAAAATTTACTAGATTTTGAAAGAAATATTTGGGAACTTGGAAGTGATGACAGTTGTGAAAGCAGAGCTTAGAAAGATGTCTGCTTAATACACAGATTCAAAAGTCCAGTGTTCTTTTGTTTCCAGGTTGATTCCCTATTTTTGTTACAAGTACAATAATATTCTTGCAGGCAGTAAATATGTTTACCATGTGATCCATAGTTGTAAGTTAATTTTAAAACTAGCTGCTTGTCTGCTACCCATATTGTTTACCTCAGAGTTAAGTGTTTGATGATTTCTCAAAGACTGATCATAATAAATTCACATATGTTAGTAGAAGTCCTGAATGTTCCAAACAATTGTAAGGGAAGAGTTTTGAATGAGAAACATTTTGTGCTGAATTAAACTTCTGCTGTCTGATAGGATTAGTAGATGGTATATGAATAAAAATTTCAGAAGGAAAAAGGCGCAGTACTGGGAACAGTGGGAGAATGAAGGCCTTTACTAGTATGATTCCAAGAAAAAGTGTATTGATTAGCTTTTGTGAAATTAGGATTCCGAAAAGGATAAAGATAAAAGGAGCCCAGTCCACCTTTTATCTTCATTCCTAATTGTTTTTCATCATTTTGCATGGGATTTGAAAACTGGGTTGAAGCATCTGGGCTAAGGAAAAGATGAGAGCATAGCACTTGTAGTTATTTGAAGCATGCACTTCTTTAGAACAGGAGTGAGGATTCTTTTTGAGTCCCAGGGCCAGATCAAAACTTGCCCAACCTTCTGGGGGCTTCCTAAGAATGGTGGCATGTTAAAACAAAAACCAAGCACCCACCCAAAGAAAAAATTGCACATACCTCTTTCCCCTCTCCCTGCATCACAACGCACCTCCAACAGGCACACAGTAAGCGCACACGCTTTTTCTTACACATCCATAAATTCAGTCACACACTCATACATGCAGCCACATATACACATGGCAGGAACATACACACACAATATGCATTTTGAGCCCACTCTAGTTCTAGGGTCGGGGTGGCTAGAAAATTATATCTGCCTCTTCAGTCAAAGGGATTTTATTTCCCCATCTTAGCACTAAGCACTACAGTATTAATTTCAAAAAATAAATCTTCTGACTGCTCTTTAAGAATAGTAGGTAGCATTCTGCCCATCCAGTGCTGGAATGGAAGGTGGGGTTGGGAGAAGGCAAAGAGCTTGTCTCCCATCTAAGTTGAGAGAGCCCTCTGCTGCCCTTTCCTCTCAAAGAGGTCTTATCTTCAATCTTAACACTGTGGTACTTGGGTGGTGCTGTGGTTTAAACCACAGAGCCTAGGACTTGCCGATCAAAAGGTCGGCGGTTCGAATCCCCGCGACGGGTGAGCTCCCGTTGCTCAGTCCCTGCTCCTGCCAACCTAGCAGTTTGAAAGCATGTCAAAGTGTAAGTAGATAAATAGGTACCGCTCTGGTGGCAAGGTAAACAGGTCCCTTTACCTTTACCTTACTTAGATAAAAAAAAAAGAGTTCTCTTTAACTCTTCCATGTCTGACATGATATTAGATTTGCCTCCAAATGACCTTGTGGATCAAATAGAAAGCCTAAATGTTCCCCACCACTGCTTCAGATTAAAAATGTGCATACTTTCCTGAACTACAAAGTATTTTCAAAATGTTAAGTAAAATGTCACTAGTGACATGTCGGCTAATATCAGCAACTTAGGTAGTAGGAGTCTAAAGTTTGCATAATTTTCTAGGGAAACCCTACTTCCAAACAGTTCATGAATTCATATTCTGTACTCATGTTTCATAAAGGGTACATGTTTTTCTATCAGTAGCTTTGTCATAACATCACACATACTACCTGGACTCCTTTGGGAGTAAAAGGATATCAGTTGAATAAATAAGGCAATAGGTAAAGGGACCCCTGACCATTAGGTCCAGTTGTGACCGACTCTGGGGTTGCGGCGCTCATCTCGCTTTATTGGCTGAGGGAGCCAGTGTACAGCTTCTGGGGCATGTGGCCAGCATGACTAAGCCGCTTCTGGTGAACCAGAACAGCACACGGAAACGCTGTTTACCTTCCCACCGGAGCAGTACCTATTTATCTACTTACACTTTGACGTGCTTTCAAACTGCTAGGTTGGCAGGAGCAGGGACTGAGCAACGGGAGCTCACCCTGTCGCGGGGTTTCGAACCGCTGACCCTCTGATCGGCAAGTCCTAGGCTCTGTGGTTTAACCCACAGCGCCACCCGCGTCCCAATAAGGCAATAGTGTGTAACAAACATACTGCTCAGCCTACCTTTGGACCACATCAGCAAAGCTAAGGGGGGGATCCTGTCATCTGGGCTGTCCAGGACCTCCATACCACTGCCTAGGCTTGCATCCTGGGGAAGTGATTTTGGTGCTGGCAACACAATGGTTTGACTTATCCCATGGAGGCACACTTTGCTGTCTCTTGAGACAGGCAGATGCCAACAATGTACAACCCTTCATATCAGGAATTGCTATTCAAGTCTTCGTGACTTTAGGTAAAATGTTCTAGAAAACAGTGTCGGTACTAGATATTTACCATTTGTAAATTATCCCTTGCATAGCTAGTATCTACATGTTACTAAGCTACAAGGGTTCTGAAGTGTCACTGATATCACCAGACACAATGAAACTTAGTCAGAGATTATCAGTTTATAAGTGGGTGTTTTTTTGTGCCCTGTAAAGCACTTTGGCATCATCTTGTATCTTTCATTTAAGTTTCTGTGATGAAGTAGAATTGTAAAGATTTGTTGTGTTTGACTTGTGTCAAAAAGTGGCATTATGCTAGTGGAAGTGTTCCTTATATTAATTGATCCATCTTACCCAATGACACCCCCTCCCAAGAAAAAAATCCTCTGGGCTTGGAGGCCCTTGGAAACATTTTGGAATATAATGCAGAGGGCTGCAATTAGCGAAAACTAGATGCCTCACCTTGCAGTAGCAGGAAGTGTTTCTGTGGGAATGGGAAGCCACCATTGGATGCATCCCTTAGGTTGGATTATAGAATTGCACTTTTAATTCAGCTGATTGCTGTAATGTTTCTGTAAAGCTAATGTCATGCTTTTATGAAATATTTATAGTCGCATAGCACTTTTACTGAATTAAAGTCTTCTATGACAGAGCTATACTAATTTTCTTTTCTTCTGTTCTGCAGGAGAGGAATAGAAACAAACAATAACTATATGGCGATGGTCCTGCTAGAATTACAACACTAATGATGTGGACTCTGGAAATGCCTAATATGTCTAAGAAGAAGTTATTAAAGCTTTGTTCCTGCTTAAGGTGACATCTTTGAACACTTTAACACAAAATTGACTCTTCTTGTAATGGTTCTCATCAGTGCATCTGCCCTTATACTCTCTCACCAAACACACTTGAGAACTGTAACTTCGTCAAGCACTTTCTGTCCTGAAGCTTTTACCAGTATCTGCTGTCTTTTGTAATTATGCATCCTAGCTAAGGCACAGGAGATGGAACGAATGCAAGGATTCATTAACTCTTTGAATTTGTTAAATACTAACAATTAACCATCATAAGTGGTTCAATGATGTGAGATTCACATTGCTTCAACTTATTTTTCTTTGATGTAGTTTTTTAATTGTCAGTTTTTAGCTATTCAACAGAATTTAAAGCAAAATCATGCCATATTTAGTCCTGGAGTAAAACTCAAGTCTAAATGTTCATGTGAAAATTATTGTAGTAAACTTTTAATATGGCAAAGCAACTTTGAGCTGCAGTTTAGCCAAATGAATTATAACATGAAATTATATTAGAATGACATTTCCCTTGTTTCAAACTGTTTGGTGTAGAGAATATTAATATATGCAGCTTGGTGGGCCGCACCAATTAATGCACATTTCCTTTTTTTTCCTGTAACATGTATACCGAAAAAAGTGCATTTGTCTGAGGAACTGTTTGTTTGCTACCACTCAATCTCAGTTTTGAGTACATGTACCTCAGTCTAAATCAGACTTTTTATGACCTTTATAACTATACTTAAAATCTTTAATTCCTATTTCTGGGTGTTTGCAAGCCTGAAAAGATTGCTATCATGGAAGTGAAAATTTACTCCTCTAGGTGATTCACTAGCTAAATAAACATAATTCTTGTTTTAGCAAGCATATACTCTGTTTCTCAAATTTTGTTTGTTCCCAGCTCTGAATATTATAGTCTGATATTCTTTCAATTCAAAATACTTTGGGAAATAAACGTTTATCCATGGTTTCAGTTTGTATGCTCATGGATGTGTTTACATGTTATCTGTTAGAGCTATATAATAAAAGCCTAGGTACCATATTCACCTGAATATTTTCTATGCTACTTTTTAAACTTTTATTTTAAAATTTCCACTTGCACACCAACATGAATGCTGCCTTGAAAGTGAAGCAACTGTATTGGTTTCATGAAATACTGAAGAGTCTGAAAGCTTTCTTTAAGATCAGTATGAAATCCAGATATGGGGAAGTTGAAAAATAGCTATTGTATGAATGCTTGATGTATCCGTCAAACCCAAATATTTACATCATGTCTGGATTCTTTCACTGGCAGTCTGTTTCTGAAGCTTATTGGGGAGATCAAAACTGCTTGATCCCATTATTTTTGGCTGCTCTGTTCTTATACATAAATTGGTTGAATATATGGCTGTTTTGGCACAGTGTGACAGTCATTTTGCCGTTAATTTTGGAAACATCATTGGGTGATGACCATCCAAGCCATACTCAAGAGTAGACCCCTTGAAATTAGTGGACTTCAGGTACTGAAGTCATGAATTTCAGTGGCTCTGCTCTGAGTATATAACATTGGTCATCACCCCCTTGTGTTACTTAACTAAAGGTTCCTCTATATACTTGGAAGGAATTCCTTTGAATTCTGTGCAACTTCCTTCCAAATAAGTAACATTTGGTTATTGAAACACCTACAAAAATTGCTTCATTGCGATTAGTATGAGGATGAAAGGCTAGCCTACTTCAAAAGAAAGCCATAATTGTTCATATTCTCATATCCTCAAAAGATGCTGTGTTATTAGAATTTGTGTGTGATCACTATGGAGAACATGATTAATTCAGTGCCAAGTGCAGTGCTATCATGTGGACCAAATGTGGAACAGATGTTTGTAAGGTAAGTGGTTTGAAGAGTGGTTCTCTTTGTGGTAATTAACAACACCAGCCCCAAATTCCAAAGAAGAGGATTGTCTTGGCACTGTCAAAATCATTCTGAATCCAGTGGCAAACTCCATTCACAAAGAACTACCAAATGGCTGTATTGCAAAGTGACCATGTGTATGAATTGCAGCATATATAAAACACACATTTCTTGGGGCATACATTCAGTGCTGGTCATGGCTAACAAAACTTTGGCACAATACCAAGATAATTCTATTTGTCATTAACTTGTCTACATTGTACACAGAGGGTTTTGGTTTTTTTTGCAATCATAGTTAACAGTTATAATTTTCAGTATCTTCTATACAGTTGTACCTTGGAAGTTGAACGGAATCCGTTCCAGAAGTCTGTTCGACTTCCAGAATGTTTGAAAAACAAATCATGGAAGCCCCATCGGGCATTCGGGTTCCGAAAGAACATTAGCAAACCGGAACAATCACTTCCGGGTTTGCAGCGTTCAGGAGCCAAAACATCCAATCCCAGGGCGTTCAGGATCCAAGGTATATCTTTTTATTTAGCTCATAAGGAAAAATGAGAGCTGATTATAGAAGCAGAACATCGATCCCCATTCATGTATGTTAGAGGCACACAGGGTCTACTACTTTAATTTGAAGACGGGGTTGTGTTTCTGGCATATATGATGTGGAACAGATGTTTGTAAATCTTCTAGACAAAGAGCAATTTGTTTATCCCACTTGAATTGCCTTGCAAGATGTATGAATAAGACCATGGTGGTGGCTTCTCAAAAATAAAACATGAATAAAATGCACTGATGTGCGTTCAATGCTTCTGCTTCTCTGTGATTAATTTGGAGAAAATGAATGTTCTTCTGTTTTTGCAGTGGAAAAGCTGATTTCTAAAACCTGAAAATTAAGCAGATACTCTTAGTTGCTGAATAATTTTATTCTGCTGTTCAGTCATTAGAAGGGGAAAGGATGCCTGGTTCTTGGAAGCTCTGCCACTGACCACTGAAATGCTTTTCAACTGCTTTTCTGGTTTCTGAAACTTAACTGGAATTGCTCCCATATTTTCAATCCATATTTTGGAGGATTAGAAATATTTTAATTAAGATTCTCATGATGCTGAATTCTGCACCCAGTACCAAATTGGCACTTTTTAAATTTTGCAAAAGCAGAAAGAAGTGGGTGTAATTTAATCACATGACAATTTCTGTGATTGGGGAATTTCCTAGAGTGAGATTTATCCCTGAATGTGAACCTTGGGATGCTTTAAATTTCTGTTCCAATTCTTTTTAGTTGTGTGTTGAATTGCTTTGTTTTGTTGTACACTAGTTATGTAGCTTTGTTAAACTTAATTTAATTTAATTTGTTAAACTTAATTGTGTACCATCCATTTAAGTAAACTTGAAGCACAACATTGGCTTTTTAAATTGAAGACTTTTAAGACTTAATTGCTGAATAAATTATTTTGCCATTAGACTTTGGGATGCAAATGTATAGTGAAACCATGCCAATTCATTCTGCCTTGTGCTATGTAACTATAGCCATGTCATAGAGTTCACATTCCTACTCCATCATTGAGGCAATTGGAAAAGAAAGCTGTCTGTGGACAAACGCCAGCTCCCTTGGCCTGCAAGCGAGATGAGCGCCTCAACCCCATAGTCCTTTACCTTTTTACCTTACTTAATGTGATGTGAATGTTTGCAAAGCCTTGCAACTTAAGGGGCATTGTAATGTAATACAATCAGATGCTTATGTCTGTTTCCTGATGTGCTTATTATACTGAAATGTGCTGTAGATCTTTCTAGCAAAATGATATATTCTCCCATTATTTCAAAGTCTAGATACTGCACTTGGCTTCTAAAATCAGACAATTAGTGCAGGAGATTCTGTAGAAAGTACAATTACTTTTTTTACTCGCCCTCTATATGTAAATACTTGTTTCATCCAAATGTTCTCAGTGGCCATACTACTTTCTCGACTAAACATTAGTATGTTTTTTTAGAGTTGAGTTTCCTCATGATTTTGTGGCAGTAGCAAATTATACATAAAATTCCTGGTTGCCTCTTCAAGGTCTTTTCTCCTTGCCCTCACCACACGAAACAGGAGGGAAACCAATTGTGGACAAGAAAGGGGAGGCAGCAGAGACAAGGATATGACCTCCACATGGGGCTTCTCTCTTCCCTTTGCAAAGCAGCAGCCAGGTATTGTGGCTACATACAATTTTGCATATACACGCTGCATCTGAAACAGAGCCCAATATTTCCACAGCTGTCTCAACAGACATATCAAGAGCCCAATCCAGAAACACATCACTTCTCAATGTTGTTTAGAGAATAAAAGGAACTACTGAGTTTTAGATATTATTGAGGGCACATTAGAATTTTCTGGATTTTTGAGAGATGCAAAAACATTAAGGGCGATCTTGGATTCTGCAATGGTTTTTGGAGATAAATACACAGGGATGTTCCCAGAGCCATTTCTATCATCTGCCTGTTGCAAGCATAAAACAGTTTACTGAAGTTGGCTTCCTTTTCCCCTTGACATGTTTTGAGTGTCTAGTCCTATTTAATGGCCTGAATAATGCCCAAATCTTAACAGCTTCCATCATATGTTTGATTTTTTTTTAAAAAATGTTTTTTCTCATGAGTCTTCACACTCAAAAAAATATATCTTCAGCTTATTCATAGCAAAGTCTTGGAATGTGGCTTCCATAAGAGTAAAATCAGATTCCTAATTACTGTGAGAGAAAGAATTACATCAAGAGGAATAGTCTTCAACATAAAGCCAATGAAAAGTTATTGGCAGGCATCAAAAGAACCACAAAGTGACTTGCGTGTGTACACAGTGGGCTATGCATTCTTTCACATACACCACCACTCATGAAGGTTGGGACCTCATGAAGGTTGGGATCCGATTTTATAAGGCCTCTACAGTCAGAAATAAAAAGCCAGCACATAACTGAAATGAAATCCTTATGTGCTAGCATATCAAGGATGGGGAACCTCAGACCTGGGGGCAATGCAGCCTTCCAGGCCTCATATCAGCTTTTCCTGAGGCCCCACAGCCTCCCAAACTGCGCCTTACTTTGCATCCTCCTCAATTGCTGTTCAGTACTGCTTGTTTGGTAAATGGAGAACAAAGGAGTGGGAGAGTGTGAAGAAACCACAGAGGTAAAAACTGCATTTGCTCTGCCCCCTTTTGCATCTGACCAATGGCATGTGGCCCCTGGAATGATGTCCAGAAGGAAATGTAACCCTCAAACTGGGAAAAATTATCTGCTCCTGGTGGATACGAGGATCCCTGAACTCTTGCAATAAAATTATTGATGTTTATTTTCTCCACCTTGAGCTGCTTTGCATGAAGGAACTATGTGCTGCACTAGATAATGTGCACTAGAAAATATTCTCAAAAATATGGAAGACACAAGATCTACCTACCAGGGAAGAATGGCAGATGAAGCTGATGGACTATATGGAACTGGCGGAAATGACTGGCAGAATACGAGACCAGGGAGAAGAGTTGGTGGAAGAAGATTGGAAAAAATTTAAAGTATATTTACAAAAACATTGCAAAATTAATGAATGTTAGAAGGATGCTGGAATGAAGCTATATGGTTTTAGCAGAAATGTAATAAAGAATTAAGTAAAAGCTGATTGATAATGGGCTAAAATGAAAAAAATTAAGGTTAGACCGTTAAGATAAATTATAGAACAAAAATTGAGAAAGATGGAAAGAATTTGCTGAAATAGTGAATTGAACTAGAATACAAAAAAGGGAGGTGTGAGGAGGTCGATGAAACAAGTAAATGAAAGGTAAAGATATGGAATACTGGATGTGTTTTAGTGTTTGTTTGTTTTTTTGCTGTATTGTATTGTTTTTTTTATGTCTCTCTTTTTACTTATTGTAATGTATGTTCTGTTAATTTTTTTACTATTTTCCTCTTCTCTTTTTTTTGGTAATCTTTAAACTTTTAATAAATATCATTTAAAAAAAGAAAAAGAAAAAAAAAGAAAATATTCTCAAAAATAATGATTTAGTGCTACAAGAAACTGGCTGATCTGCTGAGGAGCATGTAGTCTATTTACCCAAGTGAAACATGCACTGATGTTAATCTAAATCAAGTGTTAATAGGCTCCAACTGCGACTGAATGTTGAAGAAGGAATTCTTCTGACAGAGTTGTGTTTGATACCATGCAGCTTGTTTCTGTTCCAGTGTGGAAAATACACACACACACACACAATTTCCCTGTAATAGTTGGAATGACTGCTCTTCCAATGAGTGGCATTTGCCAGAGCGTAATAAATACAGAGGAAATTCCAGTTGACACAGATAAAGTATTTATAGCTCAGGACATGATGGAATTTAAAAGCATGAGAATTTTAAGGAACATTACTCATGGAGTAAATATAGTTCCAGTGATAGACACTGCATAAAAGGAAGGCAAGAAGTAACTTTGTCATTTTGTCATCTCTCTGGAATAGAACAGAAATTATTAATCACTTTAGCCGTGCTATGTTGTGGTGGGTTTCAAAGCACATGTGAAAGCTATGTAAGCGCTATCGGATTTAGTAATTACACTTGTGGGCTACCAATGGAATTTATGTAGGACAGCTGTTCTAACATAGCTTTAAAACTCTTCTATGGGAACTTATCAGGGATTCCTCTGTTGGAAGACAGGTAACAACGGACAAGCTACTGAAAGCCAGGTCTGTGACCGACACCTAAGGTTGCAAGCATTGTGCTGATCGTTTACTCAATGATCTCTCTAAATCAAATCCTTGCTGATCTAATTGACAGTGGGTGTCTTACATAGTTTCATGTGAGCATAAATACTGTTCACAAGTAAAGCAAAAAAATCTTAGTGCTTGGATGTCACTCACAACTTCTGAATGTTTAAGGTTTCAGTTCAGTAGTCTGTCCCATAGCATATTTTTGAATACCTGACTGATGTTAGATCAACGCTGCTATGTTTGTTCTCTTAGTATGCATCATCAAATGAATAATCAAATTAACAGATCATTGCAGCAAGCTAACCTAAAAGTAGATTGCTGGTACCCATGCTGTGTTGCCTGGTATTGAACGCCAGGATAGATTATGCAAGAGAATAGAAGGGAGACTTAGGGATATGGCTGAAGACTGGTGGGCAAAGTTGTGGAATAGAATTCCTTTATTCCGTTAGAGCCCTATGTTGTGAGTTCTTCCAATTTAGATTCTATTGAGCATCTAACTCATGGGTAGTCAAACTAAAGCCCAGGGACCAGATCCGGCCCAATCGCCTTTAAATCTGGCCCCATGAATGGGGAATCAGTGGCAATCTCTAAATTGCTGGACTGCAGCTTCCATAATCCCCCATCATTAGCCATGCTCTCTTGGGGCTAATGGGAATGGAATTGAGCAAGAACTGGAAGGCCAGAGGTTTCCCATCCTTGGACAACATAGATCCTCAGTAGACCAGATCTTTATCCAGTAAGACGCATCAAGTTGTTCCTTGAGATCTGACTTCCATACAAATCTAAGTGAATCCTGGGGCGAAAACTGCATTTATAAAAGGAAGGAGCATGTGACCCATACTATTTCACTCTAGGTGCCCTGCATAGGAAGTCTCTCAAAAGGCCTTAGAAGTTGTATCTGTTGTATCTCCAGTTCCTTTGTTACTTCCACAATCTCTCAAACTCTTAATCAGTTCAAGCCAGTTAAAATGGTTCAGAGTGATAGTATGTCCCTTTTCTATTGATTGTACAATTCAGTATTTCAAGAATGAACATTGTAAGAGGGGAAATTCAGAATGGTTCTTCTCCTACACAAACAAAGCAAACACCAACAGGAATTAAGGGCATTCATGTTCTGAAAGGGTGAAAATAGCTTTGCAAAAAGCTTTAGTTAACCGGCAGATGGCAGTAGAGCAGGATTTTCAAGCTATTTCAGAGCAAGCCACATTTTGTTTGTCTAGATAAGGTGTTTTGACACACAAGCATTTTTTCAGCTATAATAGCAGAAAAGCAGTAAATTTTAAAGACACCCACCCCATTTTTAAAGGCATTATCGACTCTTGTCATATGCCACAATGAATTTCGGCACCATCATGTCAGAGATGGAAAGAAGATAAAAGTCCCTACCAGAGAAGAATGGCAGATCAAGTTGGTGAATTATGTCGAAATGGCTAAAATGACAATAGGAGACAACATACTTAAGTTGTGTCAAAGTAGAATCCTATGACCCCTTCAGTTCAATGGGACTTACGTATAGGATTTCACTGTTAGGTAACAAAGTACTGATTTCATTTATATCCCTTTTTTCCAAGGAGTTCACAGGGGCACATCTGGTCTCCACCCTCTTTATTCTTACAACAACCTTGCAAAGTAGGTTAGGCTGAAAGTGACTGGCTAAAGGAGTCCAAATGGTTTTCTACTTTTAAATAAAGGCATTATTTTTAATAGTGATATTTCGAAGGAAGAAAAAGACCACCCCACAACTCATGTTCTTTTTTACACAGAATTCTGCAGTCTGTCATTTTGGACGATTTCCCACTGTGTTCTTGAAGACAATGAGCACAGGCTACACGTATAACAAAATTATTATTTTCACTTCGGTCATTGGAGGAGATTAATATCAGGCTATCCAGTGGCAAAAATGTTAAGGGTGCTTCTAAAGTTTTACACAGTCTTGACACAACATCCTCATTGACATGCCATCCTATATTTTCACACCCTCTTCCCTCAATTTAATCCAAGCATACATTTCTGCACTTATTGTCAGTGTTGTTTTACTGGATTTGCCCCAGAAACAACAAATCCAGATTAAATGGAAAAATAGAACAGCATTTGGATGAGAGGATGTTGTGTGGAAGCTGTGCAAAACCTGCAGAAGCAACACCAAACCCACAATAACTGCCACATGGAAGGACCCTAAGTGTTTCAAATTTTACTAGAAGAAGAGAAGAAGAGTTTGGATTTGATATCCCGCCTTTCACTCCCCTTCAGGAGTCTCAAAGCGGCTAACATTCTCCTTTCCCTTCCTCCCCCACAACAAACACTCTGTGAGGTGAGTGGGGCTGAGAGACTTCAAAGAAGTATGACTGGCCCAAGGTCACCCAGCAGCTGCATGTGGAGGAGCGGAGACGCGAACCCGGTTCCCCAGATTAGGAGACTACCGCTCTTAACCACTACACCACACTGGCTCAATCAATAGTATCAAGATACTATTGATTTAAGGAATGTATACCACCACTTCATAAAAATATATCAGTGGTATATAAGTGTAAGACGAATCATACCAGGCTCCCCATCCTCCATCCAGGCAAACAAGGCACCATCATGTCAGAGATGGAAAGAAGATAAAAGTCCCTACCAGAGAAGAATGGCAGATCGAGTTGGTGAATTATGTCGAAATGGCTAAAATGACTGGAAGAATCAGAAACTAGAAAGCAGGAAGACCAAAATTTTAATAAGTAATTTATCTTAAAGACCATTGTAAACAGTTAAAATCGTTAGTAGGATTGGAATATCACTTGTAGTGACACAATTTTGGACACAATGGAGAGGTGAAAGATATGGATTATCATAAAAGATGCAGGAGGAAATGATTAACAATGAGACCCACAAAGGAGAGGAGGGAAGTCCAGGAGATTCCTTGGAATCTTATTTTTTATGTTGTATGTCGGATATGTGACTGTAAAATTTTAATCTGAAAAATCAAGTAAATACATTTTATAAAACAAACAAACAGAAGGAATCGTCATAGTCTAAGAATGCAGTCCATCAAAAGCACTTGAGGAGGGTGTGGAGCAGGGCCAGACAGATGTGCAGTCTGCAAGGGGGTGTGGGGGGGTGGAGAGTCTTCCTGGAGAGCTGAATTTGGCCCCTGGACCTGAGGTTCCTCATCCCTGTCTTGGTGGAAATCATTCTGTCCACTAGTGTACCATCAGATCAGGAATTACTCCAGTATACTGATCCCTGCTCTGTATGACAAAGCCTTGGCCCAGATTGTTTTTCAGACATGCATCCTGCTCTTACTCTACTTTGGTCTCCATTTTGAAGTATTGTACTGGAACAACAAGTGGGACCCTCTCACAGTGAAGACACAAGAAACCCTGGAAGCACACCTAGTCGCCTTAACAAAGACCTATACTATTATAGCAATGTCACCTATGCTTGCCAAGGGGATACAAACTTCAGATTTATGCAAGTATTTAATAGTAGCTTGCCAAGAATGTCAGCACCCTTTTCAAAAGGAATCTTCTTTTGTGTCTTTTGATATTTAAAGAGCTGTAATTACAATGGCAAAGCTTTGAATTCTTCTCCCCCCCACCCCCTTTCCTTTCCCCCCTTATACACATTAATTTATGGGGACCAATCCAACATTACAGACAAGCTAATGAAAGAAGCACACATTCCTTTTATATTTTGTTTCTTTTATAGTTTCATTTGTGTGGATAAATGCAAAAGAGTTAATGCTATAAATAAGTATAATGGTGTATCTCTCTCCTCAATTGCTGGTTGTTGATGCTGAAGTCCTGCATAATAGGGGAAAAAATTGAACTGAATTTAAATCTTCATCTCTGCTCTATTTTTCTCTTATTTCAAAAGATTCATCTACTCTGTTTAAGCGTTACTCCTGGTTCTTTCATTTATACTAGTGGCTCATGATACTATTTCCTTCTTTTTGTTTGTGTATTTTTAGCAGTGTAATAAAAACCGAACTTGCAAGACAGAGTAACCACATTTCCCCCTATTACATGTATCGAAAGTAGGTTAGTGTATCCAAAATTACATTACTGTGTTTCTTAAAACTGGTCAGGGCTTGCAAAAGAGGATCAGTCACATTTCAGGGAAGAAGGAAATTTCTGCTCTGAGATCCTAACTTCAGAGAGTGCAGTCATTGCAGGAGGTACTACGGCCAATCGAATTCCACACTGTGAACTGCTGTTCTGTGAGGTGAAGATCTTGGGTGCCAAACTACACACAACTGGATCTCCTAACACAATTT